GGAGGCGAGGCGGGGGCGGGAGCAGCCGCAGCGCCTCCAGCCCACCAGGCTGGGCTGGACCAGAGTCAACAAGATCAAGGTGTGTGGCGCTACAGCTCCCTAGACGTGTGCAGGATGGGTCTTTGTCGCCAGGTTCTCTGCGGTTGGGGGTGAATGGGGGTCATAGCCCAGGCGTCCGTGGTGGCGCCGGCTGTAGGGGCCACGTGGGGCTGACCTCTCAGTAAGGCGCCTGGGCCTAGAGACCCCGAGGTCTCAGCAGGAAAGGAAACCTTGGAATTGCCCACTTGGTTTGAAAGGAAACTTTGGGACTTGTCTTCTTCCCTGTGTGGGAACAGCTAGACTGTTGCCTGAAGTGGAAACACTTAGGATCCTTCTCTCTGCTCTTTTTTTTTAAACTGCCGTTACCATAGTTGTATACGTGTATAGGATACAGTGTGGCGTTTCCTTGTGTGTGTAACAATGTAACATCTTAGCTCCCTTACCTAACATTTTGTGTGCTGAGACATTTAAAGTTTACTGCCTTAGTTATTTTGAAATACACATTTTTATTCCCTATAGTCACTGTGGTGTGCAATAAGTCTCAAAATCTACTCCTGTCTGTCTGAGACTTTGTACCGTTTGAGCCCCAACTCCTCATTCTCCAGCCTCTGATAGCCGTAGATAATCCTGCACCTTTCTGTACTCAACTCTTCTAAGTCCTACCAATGATTTGAGACATGACATTTACTAAAAAGCCTTTCAAATTTGCTCTTTAAAAAAAATTATTAAACTTAGTTCTTGATAAAAAGATGATTTAAGAAGTCACATAGAAAGTTGTTGGCTAAGTCGGAGTTAGAATGCTCAATCCCTGCTCACCAAACTATTATTTCAATTATTTTTCTTATCTGCTTACCAAGTCTTAGAGGCCAAGGATGTGGTTTTGCTCACACTAATTCTCAGCATCTAGCCATTTGGCCATCAGTGAACACTCAGTGGACTAAACTGTGGAGTCTCTTGCCTATTTAATTGTACACACAGTCTGATGTAGGCACCCAGACTTTCCTGTGTGCAGGATAAGGAAAATATGTGAAAATTATGGTTAAGGGCTAAAATACTTCAGGCATATAGAATTGGATTAATCATAATCACTCACCGCTGACCTGTGCAAGGGCTTGTTCTTATTTGGTTACTTTTAATAGTGAATGAACACCACAAACCTACCATCAGTTGTCTGTTGACCTAAAATGTATCAACAGCCAAGCACAAGACCTCAGTGTCTTACACCAGCAAGTGGGTATGCTTCTCCTACTGATACAGGACAGGTGGCTCAGCCGAGCTGAGCTGGAGGACCTGCCGCCTCTGCCTCAGCGGTGTTAGTGCAGGGGCAGTGGACAGAGGAACCAGCGGGTAGGCGGGTAGACACACCCTTCCAAGCCCCCCCACCCCCATCCAGGCTCTAGTAGCCAGAGGGGCCAGACAACTTCTGGGAAGACTCCAGTGCCTTGGTGTCTCCTTCCCCTTGCTCTTATGACTGAATAAAAAAAAAACAAAAAAAAAAAAACATTTCCTATGCCTAGGTCAATTTCATGTAAGTTTCCTAGGCCTCAATTCCATGAATGGACTGTGTCCATTCATTAATGCATTCATTCACCTTGCCCCAGCAGAAGGGACTGTATTTATTCATTAATACACTCTAACCTTGCCCCAGCAGAAAGGACTGTATCCATTCATTTCCTGGCCTTATATAACTACCAGAAACCCATGCAACTATATATACCCCTGAACAAAAAACTCAGAGAGAGAGCTCCCCACCTTGGTTTTTTTCTCTCTGCCAGAAGCTTTGTATTCTTTTCTGTAAAATAAATCTTGTCTTACCACCTATCTGTGGTCTGTGGATTCATTTTTCAAATCACCGAGACCAAGAACCCACTGAAGGCGAAACTCCGGTGTTGCTACAGGGGCAGCCAAGCAGGTCTGTGGAACGTGGCTATGCTCACCTGTGTGTCTGGGGTTTGGCTGGTCTCACTTGGGATGGCTGAGGCTACCCTGCCTGGCTCCGTGTCTCATCCTCGTGCAGCCAACCTAGTAAAGCACCATGGCCCCAAGGAAAGCAGTTTTTTTCCTAGGGTGTTAGTCATTGTGCAAGGCCTGTGAGTTATATATGTTTCACGAGACCCCAGGCTCAAAAGTAGTGTGAGTTAAATGCAATTCACATGGCAGTTAATATGTTAAATTCCTCTGAAATCATATTTTCTACTTGTTTCACCTTCATTGTATTCAATATATTTCCAGCAATTTGCTATAAACTGTAATATTATTTCTGTTAATTTGCCTGTAGATTCTTCTGGATTTTCTACATAAATGATCATATTGTCTACTAATAATCACAGTTTTATTTACTTTTTTCTCCTACTCTTTAAGCCTCAAATTGCTTTTCTTGGCTGCTCTCTCTGGCAAGCACCGCCAGAATGATGGTTATTTTTATTTTGTATCTGATTTTAAAGGAAATGCTTCTGACATTTCCACATTTAGAATGGTGTTTGTCTAGGAATTTTATTTTTTAGTATGGATATTCTTTATTGTATTGCAGAATTCTCTTTTTCCCCCTTACCTTACTAAGAGTTTAACTTATGAATGGGTGTTGACTCTTAAACATTGATTAAATGATTTTTATTTTTCTATTTTAATCCATTAGCATGATGAATTATGGATTTTCTAATCCAAGCCATCTTTGGATATCTGAGACACACTCCACGTGGTGTGGTGATTATCCTTTCACATATATTGTTGCATCCAATTTACTGTTCTCTGACTACGAATGTTAGCAACCGTATTTCTTTCTTTCATAATTATAGAATTATTCAAGCTTCATTTCTTTTTTAGTTAAATTTTTTCTAGGAATTTTTTTATTTCATCTAATTTTTTCCAAATTGTTGACTTATTGATAATATTTGCTTTTAAATCTGTCTTATCTGCATGTCTTTTTTTTCAATTATGTCATTTGTAAAAAAAAAATGGTCTTTTCTTGATCAATCTAACAGAAATTGATTTTATTAAGGTTTTTCAGGGAACTAACTTCTGGCCCTTTATTACATCTTTGTTTCCTGTTTTATCAATATCATCCTTATTTTTATTTTCTCTTTCCTTTTAGCATTTGGGTCCTTTTTCTATAAAATGGATATTCATATTCATCATCTCTCAGCCACTCTAACTCTGTTGCTTGTTAGGTGAAGGTAATTAATTATACAGATGAAACTCCTAGGGTTACTATGAAGTTCAAGTAAGAAAGTGCTTTGTGAACTATAAAGCCATTTATGAAGCTTTGATATAATGAGATTGTAAGCCTCCCCCGGCCAACACCCCCACCCCCAGCTCTAGTTCCTTTCCTTGCTTGATCTGGCCTTAGAGTGACTGTTCTTCTGGAACCCCCAGACTGTTTACGGCCCCCCAACTATTCTTTCAGGTTTGGGCCCCTGTGTGGAGCCAGTTACCTTCGTGCAAGTCCACGCTTGCTCACTGGTACAGCTAGACTGTGTGGTCTCTGAGGGCACAGGATGGGTCTTAGATGCCTTCAGGTCTCAACTGTTGTTACTCACGATCATCCACGAAGCACACCAATTAGCTCAGTTCTCTGTAGGCACTAAAAATAGCTGTAGCTTTTCCTGAAATATGTGAAGTGGGAATGTAGATTATTTGTAAACTCCTTTCTGACTCTGACATTCAGTGACTTACTTATTTCATATATTGTTTGGCTCCACATTTTTGGGTGAAAGGGAGAAATCTGGGTTGGGTTCCTTTGACTGTGGGGAATACTGCTGTTGGTTTTGTTTTGCAGGCCTATCCGGGGGAAGTGACTGAGGCAGTAAAGGCGGCCATTGACTCCGGGTACCGGCTCTTCGACTGCGCTTACTTATACCATAACGAGAGTGAAGTTGGTGCAGGGATCCATTGCAAGATCAAGGACGGTGCCATTAATAGGGAGGATCTGTTCATTTCCAGTAAGGTAGGGCTTCTCAGCAGTGAGGACGTCAGGGTCTCTGACACTCAGGGCTAATCTGGCACACCTAGAGGGCTCTTCAGGGTCTTTATGGGAGATGAGAACTATTCCATGTTTGAATCAGAAGTAACAAGAACTTTCACGGTTTCACAGACAAACCCAGTTATTCTTTGTAAGTTTATTTCCTTCATATTATGTATTTGGTCACTTGGGTGGCATGCACAGGAATCCCTCAATTAATGATAGATCCCTGAAACACAAATTGATTGAGTAATGAGCGTGCTGGTTACAGTGGCAAGTAGGACACAGCCCTAACTTTCATGAATTCTTGTCTGCACAGTGATTCGCAAACTCAGAACCACATGGCGTGACTGTTAAAATGTAGATTCCCAGTCTGACCCCAGATCTACTGAAGAAGAACCTCTTGGAGTGGTGCAAGTGACAGTGCTGGGGATGGCATTTCAAACAGAAGGAGCAGTTTGAACGCAGACACAGGCGTGACCCTGCACGGCAAGTGCAGGGATCTGACAGAAGCCTGTTCCCCAGTCACATGGTGTGAGGTCACAGAGCCAGGAGAAGTGGGGCTGGGTGGTGTACAGGGCAGGCTCTGGCAGCCCGGGTCTAGCCATGTAAGGAGCTGTACATGTTTCTTAGATGGCTAATTGTTGTCATTCACCATTGCTGTCTACACGCAGCAGAGGGTGGTCAGGGAGAGGCTTTGGTGTGTGCCTGGCTGAGGCAAGAGCCTCTCCTCTCAGTTGTTAAGAGAGGATGCAGACAGCTGGGGTGCTGAGACTCACCCCATGATTTGGGGACAAGTTGCTTCTGAGTGGATCACAACCAGCAGTGGAAGTATGCTCATCGTTTTGGAAATTTGAAAAAGTTGTAGAAATGTAACTAAAAATAAATAAATTACTTATATATTCACCATCTAGAGCAGTGGTTCTCAACCTGTGGATCACAACCCACTGAAGCTGTATTAAAGGGCTGCAGCATTAGGAAGGTTGAGAACCATTGATCTAGAGGCAACTACAGTTCACGGTGTAATGTATTTAGTTCCGGGTTTTGTCTGCTTTTTTATTTTGTTAATGCATCACACCTGTCATTTGTTTTCATTGATTTTAATCCTGTCATTTGTTTTCAATATTTCACACCTGTCATTTGTTTTCATTCATTTAATCTTCTGCTTTCATTCGACTTCGCATTTTTGTTTTTTACTTGCTGTGATGGCAGCGTCAGGTCAGCTGTTGTCACTGTCAATAGAAGTATAATGGGGGGAACAACAAGTTTTTTTCTACTTAACAGGAACTGTGGCGGGAAATAGCTAGATAAATGTAAGGCAGTGTATGTTAACTCACCCAGTCTAACCTGCTGGTAACTCACCCAGTCTAACCTCCTGGTAATGATGCTTAGGGAACAGAGCACCTTTAACATAGAATCTGTTTAAGTGGGAAACAATATAGAGATATTGGTTTTTCTTCATATTCTTTCTGCCTTCAGGAATTTCCTTTTTGTTTTGTTTTATTTTGGTTTTGGTGTTTGGTCTCAATAGATTCGAATAACTGTCAGATATCTCCTAATATCACAGACTTCCCTTGAGCGGGAATCAGAGCAGAAAGAGCCCCGCTCTGGAGCCCATCCCTGTTGAGGACAGCATCACCATCCTTCCCTCAGACCCTGTGGTGTTATATTTGTTGTTGTCTCATCATGAATGTTTTTGGTCCAAGACAACAGCTTTGTGTGGCCAAGGAACAGCTACTGTGTCAGCTCTGCGTGGTGGCCGTTGGTGACAGTGGTGTCCCTCTCCTTTGTAGCTGTGGTGTACCTATCACAAGAAGTCCTTGGTGAAGACGGCGTGCAGCAGGAGTCTGAAGGCCTTGAAGTTGGATTATCTGGACCTCTACGTCATACACTGGCCCATGGGTTTCAAGGTAACGTTCCACAGGTGGTTAGATACGCACTTTGCAGGCCCCTCCTACCTGCAGGCACAGCCCATCCTGTGTGGAAAGAACATGGACCAGCAGTCAGGGTGGGTTTCAGTTCCACACCTGCCACAGGCTAGGGATCATGGCCTGCGCGGGCCTCTTGATATCTCGGGGCCTCAGCTCTGGAGAGGGTTGGATTGGAAGACCTCTGAGGCCCCCACAGTTCTGTCTTTCAAGCCAGTCACTTTTTCTCAGAGCCGGTGCATTCCTCCCCACCCTCCCACCCAAGTGTGGTGAAAGCAGGAATCAGACAAGGAAATACTGCTGCTCAAAGCTTCTGCTGGAGCCGTTCCTGAGTTCCTGTGAAGTGCTGGGCCTTCACTCTGCCGACAGGCTCTGTTCTCTTGGGGGAGTGGCTGATGTTTTGCACCGTGGGAGATACTTACCTGTTCACCTGCAACAGGGTCTAGTTCTGTGGGTCTCAACCTTCCTGATGCCGCGGCCCTTTAATACGGTTCCTGTGGGTTGAGAACCACTGGTCTAGTTGGTTAGGAAGTAGATTCTTTTCTCCACTTGGTTTTATTCTCCAGTTATTCACTCACTCCCCCTTCCAGACCGTGAAACCTTCCTCAGCAGCTTTCCCTCTCTCATTCTCAGTGGGCCTGGCCAGACACCCCTTCACGTTTGCTTTCAGCTGAGATGCCAGGCTGCCTGGGCAATGTCCCAGTCACACAAGGGGTACCTGTGAAATACCGAAGTTCTTTTTTTTTTGAGACAGAGTCTCACTGTGTTGCCCTCGGTAGAGTGCCATGATGTCACAGCTCACAGCAACCTCAAACTATTAGGCTTAAGCAATTCTTTTGCCTCAGCCTCCCAAGTAGCTGAGACTATAGGTGCCTGCCACAACCCCTGGCTGTTTGTTGTTGTTGTTGTCTTTGTTGTTTTAATAGGTTCTGACTGGGTTCGAATGCACCAGCCCTGGCGCATGTGGCTGGCATCCTAACCATTGAGCTATGGGCACCTAGCCAGTCTAGAAGTTCTTGAGTGTTCTTCCCACACTGGAAGGAGCAATGTTTGCTTCTCAGGTCCTATAGACCCACCTGTGTGAGGGAGAGCCCATAATGTGTGCCAGTTGTTGGTTATTGTTTCAGAATAAAATAGCAAAACCCACTTCATTTCTAATGCAGCTTTACTCTAAGGCAGTGGTTCTCAACCTGTGGGTCGTGGCCCACAGGAACTGTATTAAAGGGCCGCAGCCTTAGGACAGTTGAGAACCACTGCTCTAAGGGTTTGTATCTGGTCTGAGTAAAGGATGTAGCCGGCTGTCCACCAGTCACACTGCCAGGGGACAGAAGATTCCTGGAGAGCAAAGCGAGAGGGCTGACTCAGCATGTGCAGAGTCATAACTAAGCACCGGTAACGTCTGTGCTGCACTGACTGCAGCCAGCGTTATTTTAATTGTGTACCAGGCATTGTTTACATATGTAAAACACCCAATTTAATCCTTTACTGTTAAGTCAGGTGGGCACTGTTGATATCCCCACTGTACAGATAACGAGGCTACAGTACAGGAAATTTAAGGTTATTTGGGTCTAGAAGCTTATGTTCTGTCCAGGTCAGACGTGCCCTCTCTGCAGGCACACATCCTTTAGCAGTCTCTGTCCTTGGATATCCAGGGGGTAAAAAAGGAAAGGTCTCGTTTCACTCAGCAGCTCCAGAGGAGAGCAGTGCAGGCTGGTCACGTGTCCTCTGTGTGGTGGGAACTTCTAGGCTTGCCAGGATGTTGGACAGTCAGAACATCAGAGTCCAAAGATGAGGGCAAGACGGCATTTTTGTGGAGGTCTAGGTGAAGGCCAGCACAGGGTGTGGCTTTGAAGTGACACTTGGAAGTTTGTTGCTTCAGTTTATCGTGGAAAATGCCTGAGATGTGAATCAGGCTGGAACTTTTGACATTCCCCCACCATTGCTCAGGAACATGATGAGGTGTGTCTGCCATCCGCCCTGTCATGTGCTACACAGGACTCTGCGTGAGCAAGGCAGTGGCTTGCATGTCAATACCTGCACCATCTCTGAGATGTGACCTTGGCTCCTCGCCCTGTCCAGGTTCATACTCTGCATCCCGCCTCCCACGCATCTTTGTGTTCTCACATCACCATCTCTCATCATCATGGGAACCTGGGGAAGGAAAGAGGATCCTGACATGGAGTTGGGAGAAGGCTGATTGTGCTTTTAAGACATGAGAGAAGCTCCCTTCTCCTACTCTTCACCTGAAATTACTGAAGCATTTTCTGGTCATTAGCAAGGACCCAAGGTCTTCCTTTCTCACCTTGTGTGAAATAGACAATGAACTTCAAGGGTAGTCGAGACTTTGCCAGTCATCCAGCCCACACAGTCCTTGGTCTTACAGAGAAGAGGACTGAGGCCTGGAGAAGGGAAGTCTCACAGCTAGACTGGGGTGGTTTAGCAACAGGCCAGAAGACTCAGGTCTTCTGACACACGGAGTTTTTTTCATACATCTCCATCTTCCCCCTACCCAGGCTTCTCAGAAGCCTAGATAAGCTCCTTTTCTTCTGGTTCTCACAGCCTGGAGAAAGAGACTTGCCTCTGGACCGCACCAGCATGGTCATCCCCAGTGACTCTGACTTCCTGGACACCTGGGAGGTGAGCTGACCCACACCCCTAGGCAGCTTCTCCTTTGTGGTTGGTCTCCAAACAGGGAGTGTTGAGACCTGCTCTTATTGTTCAAAGACACCAAGGTTGTCTACTCAAGATGCAGGGTTTGCATATTAACTAGGAATAAATACCCAAAGAACTCAGAGACCTCAAATGATGTTCTTATTGCTTTTGGTTTAATACGACACCTCTCTCTGAAATATTGTGTTAGAGATAGCTAATACAGACCTCCTTTTTTTTCTCAAATATTTATTTTTTATTTTAAAAATCATATTTTTATTCCAGAAAATGGAGCAGAGTAAAAAAAAGAAAATTTAAAGCCCCCATTTTCCCATTATTCAGCAGTATCCACTATTAATGTTTTATAGTTTCATTTAGTTGTATTGTCAACATTTTAGAGGGTGATGTTGGAGCCTGGAGAAGCCTGGGTTGGGGAGGTGGGAGCAGCATGGGCATGGTTACCAAGTGTCCAGCCTGTTTCCAGGGTTGAAAGGAAACCCAAGTAAAGCTTGAAATAAAGTCATGAACAGAGGGTTCAGAGAGGCACTGGGGTTGAGAGTCCCAGGGAGGTGGGCCATGGACTGGCTGACCAAGTACATGTGTTCTGTAAACCATACAATGGCTGACCGGGTAGGTGTGTCTCAGTAACTGGCATACGGGGACAGAGGATGGCACATGTGAGGCCTAGGAGGAATGTGAGTTCAAACTTAAACTTGCTGAGTTTGGGGCAGAGTGTGATGGGTGAGGCCATGAGAGCACCTGCAGTCTTCCAGGTCCTCTAGGGAGGGGGACCACAGACAGGGAGAAGTCTCAGGGGAGGAACACCATCAGTGAGACGGAGACTGACCGTGGGGACCATGGGTCCCAGGGAGAAGATTCAGGGGAGGAACCCCATCAGTGAGACAGAGACTGGCCGTGGGGACCACAGACAGGGAGAAGTCTTAGGGGAGGAACCCCATCAGTGAGACAGAGACTGGCCATGGGGACCACGGGTCCCAGGGAGAAGTCTCAGGGGAGGAACCCCATCAGCGAGACAGAGACTGACCGTGGGGAACACAGGTCCCAGGGTCCCAGCTCTTTCTGTCTGCTGTGTTGCCTCTAATAGGAAGAACAGCTGAAATGTGTTGTGTGTTTGCTAGACACCAGCTAAAGTACCTTCTGCACATGATTTCACATAACACTAAAGTAACCCTAGAGTGGACAAGTAGTCCTGCTTTTAAGGATGTGGGGATGGAGACTCAGTGAGGTCCTGTAACTTGCCCAGCCTCCCCTAACAAGTAAGAAATGGAACTGGTAGTACACCTTCACCTTGAGTACAAAAATGCTTTGGAAGCTTAAAGTAAAATATTCTTTAAATTTGGGGTATTTCTAGTTTTAGAACATTGTACAAAGTTGCTTAGGGGTGTAGATTACCCATGGAGTGAGCTGTGCCTGTGCACCCAACAGAGTCCTGTGTCCTCTTCTAGGCCATGGAGGATCTGGTCATCGCAGGGCTGGTGAAGTACATCGGGGTGTCAAATTTCAACCATCAACAGCTACAGAGGATTTTGGATAAACCTGGGTTGAGGTTCAAGCCAATAACCAACCAGGTAAGCTGGTGGAACCATCAGAGGGCTTAACTGGTGTAGTTGGCTTCCCAGCCGTTACGTCCCTATGACTCGTCCGGAAACAGCAGGATGGATGGAACGGTTACAGGCAGGTTTAGCAGGTGTGTTCAGAAACGGTCAGGGTCCTGGCAGGTACCTCGCCCTCATTAGAGGGGCATAGAGCCCCCTCTATCTCTTCCAGCCTATGCAGCCCACAGCAGGAAGGTGTAGGTGGCCAGATGCCTCACACTGTACTTGCCGACTGTGGACATGGTATGTGCACTTCATTCTGTAACACAGAGAGATGCTGCAGAAAGGACTTGTGCATGAATATTAGAGTGTGAAAGTGCACATGTGAGAAGGCAGCTGAATAAACTCTCAGAGACTGAGCGTAGCTCTGCAGCTAGCTTCTAGTTCAAGACACGGAGTAAGACCAGCATCCCGCCTCTGCACAACACAGCCCTGTTCTTTTTTCCAGCAGCATAGATTAGAGTTTGAACTCTGTGTGGCTGAGGTAATAACACAGAGAGAGGCCAGGACGGCTGACTGGAGACACTGATGCCAGAGCATCCCGCAAGAAGGAAGGGTTTCAGATAAAGGAGAGGGGGAATGGGCACACTTCAGGTGTGGGTCAGAGGAAGAAGTGCCAGAGCCTGCCAGGGACTTCATGGAGGGAAATGCAAACTAGAACAGGAAAAGGAAAAAGAAGAAAAGATCCTGGTGCAGATCAAACCCAAAGGGGTGCGGAGCCCAGTGAGTGGGGATTCTGTTTCCCCTTCCTACTCGCCTTCGGTGACCATAGGCTACGAGTTGTTTGGATGCTTCTCCACCCTCTGAGCCCCGGCACTGCTGCAGCCACTGAGCTATGTGGCGCTAGCATGACCCTAGAGCTTGGACACCCTGTGCAGCTTCCTTCCGGGGGAGCCAGGGTCCCAGCTCTTCCCTTCAGACTCTTCACGCCCCTGCCACTGCAGCCAGGAGGGAGCATGAGCCATGATTTGGGGAGCAGCCCCCTCCCCCAGCTGGCACATCATCCTCTAGTCTGAGGTTTCCACAGAGATAGGACCCACACTTTGCCTCTTGAGTACCTGGCTTGGACCCAAGGGTGCCCCATCTGGGACTTCTCTGCCTATGGCACTCCTCAGAGATTCACACCAGTGAGTCATATGTGCAGGCTGGATCCTGTGCCCCCGAAACTTCAGCAGGTTGCTAGGGGGCACAGGGAGAGATTTGAAAGCTCAATTTGGGAGCTTTTGACAGGAGAATACAGTGTGGGTCCGAGCTGTGATGATCTGATGGAGTATCACCCCCTAACAGATAACGGTGCTGTCAGACTGGGGGACACCCTGTGGAGGGGAGGTCCCCAGCCCACATCACTGCTGAGCATGATGGGTTTGGGCACCTGTTTGCAGACAGACACTAGTAGTGAAAGAGGGACAGAGCTCACTCCTGATGCCCAGTTGGTGAGTCACAGAGCTCCTCCCTGATGGGTTGGAGAGGCTGCTTGGGCCCTGGCACCTCCCCCCATTTCTGGAAATGACCTTTGACCACCCCTGCTGAGACTTTGCATAGCCTTCCAGGCCAACCCAACCCAACCCAGCCAGCCTGGCTCCTCAAGTCACCCCTGCTGTTTTGGAGAATAGCAATGCCTGGGGAGCGGCAGGCCCCCCCCACCCCCCCACCCCCCACTGCCTGGGCATTACCATGCTTATGGGAAGGGGCTAAGGCAGATTTCAGACACAAAGAGCATCTCTGCAGTTGGCTTTTCCCTGTGAACACAGGGAGAACAACTAGATAGCTCATCACAGCATCTACGAACTCAGTCAAATAGGGTGTGGACGCTTCTTACATCACCACCCACCAACTCAGAAATGAAGCTGGTGGCCCCAACACAACTCACACTAGTGGGAGGAGGGGACACAGCGGAATAGAAACAGGCGTGCTCCTACCAGCAGAAGTACTGTTCATAGTGCTCTTTAATTCATGCTAAGTGAATATGTTCACTTGGAACATGTCGTTCTCACATGTAACTCCCCAGGGTTGTGCGTTTATTCAACAGATTATTTTAGTACTGTCTACAATGTCTAGATTGTTCTCAGTATTGGGAGAGATCCATGAAGAACAGCAAAAAAGAATTGAGACAAAAATCTCTGTCCTCATGAAACTTGGTGAGATATCAGGTCAGGGCAGGTGCTGCACAGGACACAGGGGACCGGGAGCTCAGAGGAGCCAGGGATGGCCTTGCTGAACAGGTGCCATGGGGGCATCCAGATGAGGGAGATACTTGCAAGGCCATAGACGGAGAGACCTTGACAGCATCTGGGTCTTGGAGATGGCTTAGCCCACCCTCCTCTCAGAAGCGCTCAGGCCTCCAGATGGGCCAGTAGCAGCCAAAACGTGGACGCAGGTCTCCTCCGTAGAGCTTCCTGGTAGGCCTTGTGTTCAGCATTGTCATGTAAGTGGTGATTCTTCTTGTAGATTGAATGCCACCCATATCTGAATCAGAAGGACCTGATTAAATTTTGCCAGTCCAGAAATGTGTCTGTAACAGTTTACCGGCCTCTCGGTAGCTCCTGGTAAGGATGGTCAGTGTCTGTGTAAGTTGGGGTCCTAGTGGGAGACTTGGAGGAGGGTTCAGTGGATGTGTGGGTGGGGCGTGGAGGGGCCTCATGTTTCTGGGCAGAAGGAGGGGAGCTGGAAGCCAGAGTGGCCCTGGGTGGGCTGCCCTGGGGCAGGGCCCTCTGCAGGGATGTAGCCAGCCTGAGGTGAGCCTGTCTGCTGCTGACCTATGTGAGGACATCCCCAGACCTCTCAGTCATTAGGTTTCACAAACGCCCCATGACCTGCCGTTGGTGCTGTGCTCCCTGGATCAGCTAAGGGGCCACCACCCACTTAGTCAGCCACCCAAGGTGGAACTCGTGCCCCAGTCTAGCCAGCACCAGGATCCGGTGATGATCCTGCCAGGAGAACTTGGACTTTGTCTGTCGATCTCTATTGCTGCTGGTGCTGCCTTGGTTGAGTGAGAATTCCCCACGCTTATCAGAGGAGCCCTTAACCTCGCCCCCAAACCTACCCATGGACTGTTTGCCCAGTGGCTGAAGGAAGTTGTCTCCACATGACTGTGTCACTCTCCTGCTTAAAAATTCTGCCTTGGGGGTGACCTGTGAGGGTCAGCTGACGGGCTCCTGCTGGCCTCTGGCCTCACTTCTCCCCCTCCCTGCAGACATTCTGTGGATCCACCACATGAAGTTGTGACTCCTTGGGGAGAACGTGTTCCTTTCAGTCTCTGTAGTCTGTTCTTTTTACCTAGAATCTTACATTTTTAAACTATAACTAACTTTGGTTTCCGACTTAAGGTTCAGAGCAGCATCGCCTCTTCCAGGGCCTCTGCCCGTCCTGTCTGTGCTTTGTGCTTGGCCCCTGTCAGCCTGCCAGGACCTGCCAGCGGTGGTCATGGTTTTCTTCTCAGTCCCCCTACTAGTCAGAGCCGCCTGGGTGCAGCAGGGTGTCTCACCCATCCCACTCCCAGCCCTAGGCTCAGTGCCTGGGCACATTGGGAGTCCAGAAAGGCTAAAATGACTTGGATTTTACCCCCTATGTGTTTCCCTGTGAAATGGAGCGTGGACTTGGTAGCAGCTGGAAGTCACACTCCACAGCTATGCTTTGGGGCAGAGGAGGCCCTGGTGGAGTGGACGAGTTGCCATCAGAGAGAGAGAGAAAGAAAACCTATGCTGATGCTTCCTTTAGGAGATTTTGAGGACTGTGACTAGCTTGTCACAAGACTAGTAACAGGACTATTTGTTAATAAAATGGCTCCTAAAGTTATTAGGGCTGGTCGCTTGCCTGGACAGCTGTTGAGGGATAGACTCTGGTAATCTTCAAAATCTCTTATAGTCCTATAGTAAACGTTCCACATGTTCACAGTAATAACTCTGTTGGTATTTGGGGTGACCTTTTCGGAGTGTATTGCTGCTCTCAGCAAATATGGTTAATGGTACTCTGGGCCATCTGTTAGGGCCTGCAGTGGACAGCTGACACGTCTCAGAGTCTGGGAGTGTCGGAGGGCACCTCACAGCAAGGAGAACCCACTGCCTCATGCGCTCTGATGTTGCCACCTGGTTCTTGAGAAAAAGCAAAATACACATGAAAAGTGAGGCTGAGCAGGTAAATCCACCAAAACCTGAGCAGCGCTTACCCACAGACAGTGAATCTGGAGTGAGGTGCTTTTCTGCATTGTTTAAATTTGCTGTAGGCTTCATGATTGCGATCAGAAAATAGCAGATCTTTCGTTTTGGTGAAAGGTTTTCCTTTTTAAAGAGAGGAGCACCCGTGCTGGCCTCCAGCTCACCACCCTGTGCTGTGTCTCTCTAGGGAGGGGCTTGACATGATGGATGACCCAGTAATTGAGAAGATCGCAAGGAAGCACAACAAGTCTGCAGCTCAGGTACGAGGAGGGTTGTCCTGCGGGGAGACGCACATCCTCCCAGAGTCCTGGGGCCTGGACGTTCCTGGGAAGGGATTGGTGTCCCTGGAGGAGTTGACGACTTGCCAGAGCCTCATGGGGCAGCTTGCTGGCCTCAGCTGTTCTCCCGTTCCAGCCATGCTTGTGCTCTGGCCGCCTGGCCTATCTAGACACAGAGGATGAGTTCCCAGGACCTCTGCCTCCACCCTACCGGCTGCGTGCACAGCAAGTCTGAAGTGGACCAGAAAGTCATTTATTATACAGATAGTTTCCACTATTCTCATGTCCAGTTTATTTGGGGCATTGGATGTGAGTTAACACATCCATCCCCAGTAAGAGTGAGGATGACCTCTGACCTCCTCTGGGCTGACGACTGTCATCACGATGTCCTGACAGAGCTGCTTGGAAATTGCTCCCCTGACCCTGCACACTTTTGGTGTGCAGGAGCTCATAGCGACAGCTCCTACCATCCTTGACCTTTGACGTCCACTGCAGAATGAAACTCTTAGGAAATAGCGTGGGTTTGACTTCCTGGGGGTTCCTTCTGCGTGATGTTAGACCTTTCGTTCCTTACAGATTATGATCCGATTTCAGATCCAGAGGCATACGATAGTCATTGTCAAATCTGTCACCCCAAAGTGGATTAGAGAGAATATCCAGGTAAGGGTCGCGACCCACAGGAACCGTATTAAAGGGACGCGGCATTAGGAAGATTGAAGACCACTGTGTTAGAGGGTTTCCTTGGGGCAAGCTGACTCCTATATAAACAGCCCCAAGATCTATCTCTGTGGCATGACACCTCAGAGGCCTCGTCTTCTGGGCTGTCAGCGTCAGTGATCAGCCTTTCCTCAGTGACCCAAGGGCTTCAGTCTTAGGGCTTCTTCTCCCGTAGGGTCTCAGGGCACAGCTGGGATGCCCTGCTCCTTCACCACAGGTCTGTGCACACAGAGGGGTGATGGTGTTCGTGCCCTCACGTGAGGTCATGCACACTGGGGGGCAGTGCTGTCCATGTGCTCACATGCAGCAGATGCAAGACCCAAGGGACCAAAGCAGATATGATGTGATGGCTGTGGACAGGCACAAGTCCTATTAGGAGGAGTCAGGAGCTGGGTCCATGGGACGCCTAGGGGAGTGATAGAGACCTGCAAGTCATGCAGAGTGCCAGTGTCCCTCAGAGCTGCAGGGACAAGATGCTGGGCCCCAGACACCCTTCAGCCATGCTGCACCAGTGGCCCTTCGTGGGTAGGGACTCTTAATCAACTGCTCACTCTTGGCCTTGTGCCCTCTTCCCCTCATTCCAGCCACTGTCAGCCCCAGATCCCCGCAGTCAGAGCCCCTGCTAATGCTGTGGGGCTGATTTCTCCCGGCTTTCAAACCACAAGTCTCCTGTGGGGGTAGAGGTTGGGGTCCCCTCACCCCCCCCCTTCTGGACACATTGGGGTCACTCAGTAGTCCACTCTTCCCTCTCCTTTGACTCAGCCCCACAGCTGGGTTGGAACTGGCACGGTTGCAAGAAGTTTGCACGTGTGGAAGTGGGCCGTGTTCCTTAGCGTGTTGGGGCAGCTAAGGGTGGGGGTCAGAGTATTATTTTAGAGGGAGGAAAGCAGTTACTCAGAAAAATTACCCTGTGATGTGGATGATACTGTTAACACTAGTAGTCCCAGGGCCATCGTGGCTCCTTTGTGGGTGGGGTGTGCAGAACAGATGCTTTTGAGGGAGAGGGTCTTCCCAAATGTCCTTTACTCCCATAAAATGAATACAGTTTATGTTCCAAGGTTTCCTGAGCATAGCCAAGGCTGAGCTAGCACCAGCCAAACGATCAAAATCAAAGTTCATGTGGGGACTTGGGCTGTGACCCAGGTGAGCTCTGTGGTCTGGCAAGCGGCTCTTTCCTGCGTGCCCCCGGCAGGGCTCCCCCAGGGCTTTGTAGGTGACATACACTCCGTTCATGTGAACTGAGTTTCCCATGAACACTTTATTCTGGTTCTAGGTGTTCAATTTTGAATTAACAGAAGAAGATATGGAGGCCATGCTCGAGCTGAACAGGAACCGCCGGCTGGCCACGTTCCCCACGTAAATATGGTTCCTTCCTCCTAAAGTGGAGGGAGCAAGGTACAGATTGGGTGGTGGTTCCTGAGCAGGTGTTTGGTGCACGCCTACTGGACAGGTTAGCTAAACCTTCTTGCTGTGATCTTTTCTGTTTGAAGATGGGCAACTGAGTGAAGTCAAGACTAACTTCACAGAGTAAGGACTTTAAAAATACATAACTATACCATCCGAGAATGTTTCCCTCAAAATTAATCATTCTTGCTTCTATTTTTCACGTGTTTTTCAGAACTAAAAATCACAAAGACTATCCTTTCCACATAGAGTACTGAGGTCACGCCCTCCCTTCCCCTTGTTCCTGCTCAGCCTGGATGGATGGACACTGGTAATGACGTCAACCACGATGCGGGGACGGGCCCTCCACAGGTAGGTGGGGTGGATCCCCCTGAGAAGTCGGAAGGATTGAGTGTTTTCTGAGTGATAGAAATGGGATTTCTGCCTGGCAGCTTGTGTGGCCTCTACTCTCTGAAAAAGAGGTACAGAGGACTCATGAATAAAATTTACCTTCACATTTTAAGAAAATATTGTCTTATGGGACAGCATGAGTTGCTGCACACATGCCAGCCAGGCCCATCTTGTCTGACCTTCAATGCCTGCCAGGACCCCCAGTGATTCAAAGCAAAATCCTTTCCTCCACACATGGAAAGGGAAGTGGGGTAAATTGGAGACACCATTTCAGTTTAAAAGCAAAGCTTCTTTTTTCTAATTTAAACTCTAAATTTAAATTTTTAAATACTATTTTAACAAAGTCTTCTGGTAAGTCAAATTACTGTGGAAACCCCAAACCAGAGGTGAAGTATGGCTCATTGCCCAAATCTGCTTGTGTAATCTACTGAGACTCAGTGCATCAGAAAGAGGCCTGGCAGAGGTGTTCACCCGGCTGGCTTGGTGCATGGTGGGTGCCTGGACTAGTGCTTGCCAGGGCCCTGGTCCCTGCCCTTGCTGCCACCTCTCCATGCACCTGGCCTAGCTCTGTGCCCTCAGTCTCACACTGATGCCCCCCGGGATGTACTTCTGTCTGACTCCTTGGCTGCTGTACAAAGGGAGCTCAGCAGAAAGAAAGTCTGATGTCTGCCCCATGGTGCCCCTTTCCTATGCCCACCACATCCATCTCCGTGCCAGCCTCTTAGAGCTGCTGCCCCATCTGGTGCCAGGCCTGGGGAAGGCAGGCAGGGGTTCTTGGGGGCCAGCGGGATCTAATTTGAGGACAGTTCCACCAGTGTCACTTCCCAAATCTATCTTACCGTGGTCAGGAATGCTGAATCTGGTGAGGGCTCTGTGTTCTTGAGTGGACCACTTCACCTCTCAGGGCCTCGGCCTCCTCCCCGTTCAGCAGGGTCGTTGCAGCACCTCACAAGGTTGTTGAGGACTCTCATCCAGGACGGGTTACAACTCTGACGTTCCCTTCACTGTCGTCTTGTTCCTCAGTTTCCCACATCCACCTCCCTGCCCAGACTTCCACACATACCTGGGCTTGTGAGGCTGTCCTGGCTCTGGGTCCCACAGAGGGGTCTGCTGCAGGCAGCAGCTGATGCAAAGAAGTTTGTTGTTGAGGAGAGAACTGTGAGCGGGGCTCGTTACAGTGGAGTAACCAGGCGGTTTCTGACACGCCCCCAGCTGCATCCTTATAGACGTAATGTTCCATGTTTCTGATTCTGCCATGCGTTAGCTGTGTGACTGGGTAGATAGTCTCTTAAGCCTCACACTTGTCACCACTGCCTACCTAGGGGCATCAGGATGAAGTGGTGCAGTGCGCCTGGCACTCTGTGTGCTCCTGTGTGTGTGTGTATTTATTTTCTTTATCTCCCAGAGCCACAAATCTGGCTGTACTATTTTGTTCGTGTCACTTGTCACTTACACCAAAACCAGAAGTAGAGTGCAGGACAGTGGTTACCTGATGTGGGGCCAGAAAGGGGAAGTTGCTGAGCAGGTACAGAGCTGCCGTTAGATGGGGGCAAGTTCTGGCCTCCCCTGCAGACTGGGGCAGCTGAATCCTGAGCATGGGCTACAGCACTTTGCACTTTATGGGTTTACTTCCGAGGACCACATGAAAACTGTCAGTTAAGTCTCCCAGCAGATGGCATTTGAGGAGCATGAACATTCAAGTTTATTTGCAGTTCTGGCAGGAGATGGCAGTGTTTGCACTGCCTATTTGGTTGTAGGGTTTCTTACACTTTGTAAAACTGCTATGAAGAATGAAATGGTAGATAGCAAAGATAAGAAAATACTGGGAAGGTATAAAGCGTGCGAAGTCTCACAGAGTGTGTGCAGCTGCACTCTTGACGGTACTTCCCATCCCTCCTTCAGGTAGGAGCTGACAGCGCCGCACGCCTTGTCTTTCTGTTCTAAGAGTGGGGCTCGCAAAGCCTCTTCCCTTGGGTGGTATCTCTGCTTTTCTGCACACAGAACTTCTTCCCCATAGCGGGGAGTGCAGAGCGGGCTCCACAGGAGAAAAGTGTCACTGTGTGCTCTTTAAGGGACCCATGGTGTCAAGCAGCTTCCAGAGGAGACTGTTTGAATAGGCCCCTTCCTCCATGGGCTCTTCCTCTTTACATTTGAATGGAAAAATCCAAGAATAAGTGGCAACCAAAGGCATAAAAAGCAGGATACAGAGTCAGGCATCTTTGTTCAAGGGGATGGGGGGTTGCTGGTCCAGTGGCAGTTTTGTGGTTAGCTGCAGCAGCTGTTTTTTAGAGCACCCAGGTTTCCATCCTGTGCACACTGGAAATTGGGGTGCAGAATGTGTGCGGAGGCCTGCTTCCCCACTTCGGTGGGTGTCTGTCTGTGTCCTCACAGTTGTGCTCAAGGAGGAACGGTGTGGACCATCCTTCTGGCCACGTGTGTGTTCTCTGTGGTGACAGGCCCATGGCATTCCTGTGAGTTCACTATAGTGCCCCAGGGTGACACAGTGCACAGCTTTGGAATTGGATTTATACACTGTGTATTAGTTCCAAGCTTGAGCAATGATAAAGTTACACATATATTCATCCACCTCCTCCTCCTCTCTCCTGTCTCCCTGTCCCCACGTAGGTGTCTAATAGGTGCCTTACACTTTACGTGTCTGCAGCAGTGCTCCTGGTCCATCTCTCATCCTCATTGTCCTTTCCTTACCGTTATACACAGCTTGAAGTGTGAGGGCAATTCGGCCTTGTTCTTAGAGTCTCGTGTGCACAAACAGGTGTATGCAGGTGTAACGCTGCACAGTGTGCTATGCTGGACTCCACACTGGTCATGGCCCATTCTCATCTGACATTCTCATAATGACGTTGGTCCAGACTCGGTCTCTGTCTGCAGCATGTCCTCACTGTTGGGCCGTGTGTTTTCACAAAACTAAGTTCTTTTACTTGTCCTTGTTCTAGGTAACCACACCATCCAGGCGGTCTTGCAACTTTAAATTGCCCGACTTCCACACAGATTCTGTCTGAGAGCTATGGCCGACAGAGTGCTGATGGCGTAACTCCTGCCTGGATTTCCAGGGCCCAGCAGCCTTCTGCTAGTACGGAACACAGACCTGAAAGCCACACACCACCAACAGGGCTCTGGAGCTTTGAACACAAGAAGAACCCAGAAAGCTATAGCTTCCAAGGTGCATTCCTGCCATGGATGGCCCCTGCCACTTAGAATCCCATCCACGTGCCAACACCAGTCCTTGGTCAATGTTCACTAATACTTGCATATTTGTTGTGTGCCAGATACACGTCTGTGTGTGTACGCTATTGTTGGTGCCATCGCCAAGGAAGCAGGCTGGACAATGGATTCTAAGCTCAAACCTTGCAGGAGGTGGGTCTCCCCATGCATGTCAGGGAAAAGGCCCCAAGCAACCTCCGCAGCTGCTGTTTATTCAGAGCAAGCTCCCCTCCCCCAAGCCCGACCCCCCCCACACACTGAAATTCCATAGCTGATCAATTTCCAAATGCCAACTTCTGTTAACATCTAGTGATTGCTAGAATGTTTCAAAAAACTGCCACTTTGTCTCTGCAAGCCCACAGTCCCAGTCCATCACCACTTTGTCTCTACAAGGCAGCTGTCCTGGTTCCTGTGCATGTTGCTGCATAGGTTGTTAGGTTGTGTGCAAGCCCACAGTCCCAGTCCATCACCACTTTGTCTCTACAAGGCAGCTGTCCTGGTTCCTGTGCATGTTGCTGCATAGGTTGTTACATAGATCACTACATATGTTGTTACATAGATTGCTACACATCTTATTATGCAGGTTGCTGTTACATAAGCTGCTGCATATCCCATTACATAGGTTGCTACATGCTATCAAATTAATTCAGTCTCAGAAAGGTAGGAATTTACCCTTGGCCCTCTGAAGTTTCACTGAAAAATCAACTCACAAAAAACAGATTAATCAGAGAAAAGGAAAACAAATTTATTTAATGTGTGCACATGGGTGCCTTCAGCATGAAGACTCAAAGGCATTGGGACTTGTCCATGTTTATACTTAGGTCCTCTGTCATGTAGAGGACCTCTATCCTCTATCTATAGCTGTGTAGAAACATGACTGGATGCTGACAGGCCAAGCCGGGAAACCAGCAAGGCCTGTGTGTCCGTCTGGACCCTTCTTGGCTTCTCCTTCCCTGTGGGTGTGGGCAGGGCCCTCTCTGAATGAGGGTCTCATGACCTGCAGTCAGACAAGGAGACTCAGAGAATCTCTTTATGGCCAGTTTTTATATGGAATATTTTTAGGTTTTATGGCTGACTTGACAAAAGGAGTCCTGGTTTCTATACCTGCCTTGGAGAAGAGGGATCCTAGTTTCTGCCTCAGAGGAGAATAAAACTGAGAGACAAGAGGGCGAGAGAAGGTCAGAGAAAAACTTTGGTTTCTGTGGCCTTCAGTTCGAAGTACTGTTTCCTGAGCCCCAACATGTCCATTTTGCAGATGAAGAAACAAAGGGATGGAGAGGTTAAATGAGTTGCCCCCAAATCCACAGCCAGGAAGCAATGTAGGGGACAGGACCCAGGGAATCTGGTTGCAGAGAATGAGCTCCTAGTCATGCACCCGCTCCGGCCATCTGCTGATGGGAATGGTGGGCTCGCTCTCCATCAACACAGGGCCCACAGGTGCTGGGCATGGGGCTCACCAGGTGGCAGAAGCAGATGGGCTGCTATGCGCACAATGTGGGACCAGCACCCTGGGCTCTGTCTTTCCTGCCCACTCAGGCACCAGAGTGCTTTCCTCTGCTGAGACGAGGACGTCTGCGGCAACAACTGTGATTCCAAATAGGCCTGGCAGCATTGTTTACTACACTCCTGCCTTGTGAACTGTTAGCTTGTGATATTGGCATAAAGGTTGTTTTGTTTATTTTCTTTCTTTTTTTTTTTTTTTTTTGCAGTTTTTGGCCAGGGCCAGGTTTGAACCCGCTACCTCCAATATATGGGGCCACCGCCCTACTCCTTGAGCCACAGGCACCACCCTGTTTATTTTCTTTTGTTTAATGGTTTGTGTTAGCAGTTTTATTTCTGGGTTTATGTTCTTTCCCATGCCTTTGTGGAACAGCTAGTTCCACACTATGTTAGAATTCATCTTTTTCTTAAACTATACAAATAAGAGAGAATGGATAAAACTTTGTTGTTGATTCTGGAGAGAATAGCACACATCTCCCTCCAGGGATAACATGTGGTTCAGTGGCAGTGCCTGAACCTGCCAACACAAAGCCCACTTCCCTGTGGCACCTGTAGGAAGACACTCCTTGGCAGTGCTGCAGAGTGTCTGATGACAAAATCAGAAGAACCAATCTGTAGATGACCAGCGTTAATTTACCTGGGAAGTCACTGGAGAATCATTGCCTGGAGACAGGGGCTAGTGAGTCAACATATGCTTGATTTACATCTAGGCCTGACATTACAGAGAGGAGGTATAATTAAGTCCAGAAGGAGACGTGAGGACAGCAGTTTCTTGGGTAGAAAAGTCACATCTGCAGAGGAAAATGGGAAAGTGTGAGAGCTGTAGAGGCTGAGAAGGGCTCCTCCCCACCTTCCGCATCACAGCAAAGGAAATTCTGCACAACTGTCGTGCAGTGAATTCTTACAAAATGTGATTATAACAAGAATATCTCTTGTCAATGGGAGGAGAATGCAGTCAACTAGAGACTATTCAGAACGAGAGAACTGCTGAAGTTTGATTAAGTTGTGACGACTGTGGGGACAGACACCTGATAAACTGCCACATTACCCACCCCACCTGGGACACAGTGGATTTTATGCCAAATCAGGTTAGGCCTTTTGATACGGTTCCCCGGGTCCTGGAGCCTCTGTTCTTTCTACTGACTACTTTTTCTCTGTGGTCCAACTGGGTGATTTATATTGTTTTATCTTCCAGTTCACTGATTAGTTCCTCTAATGCTTACATTATGCTATTGATGAGATTCACTGAAGTTTTATTTGGATTATTGCATTTTTCTGTTCTAAAGTTTCCATTTGGTTATTTTTTGTTTTATATTTCTTTGCTGAGACTCTTTATTGAAACTTTCTAATTTTTATTTGTTGAAATTGTTTATAATTGCTTGTTGAAACATTTTTGTGATGATTGCTTTAAAATCCTGGTCAGATAATAACATCTTGATCATCTGGGTGTAGGCATCTTTTATCTTTTTCCATTCAATTTGAGAACTTCCGTGTTCTTGGTATGAATGTTCTTTATTACAATTTGGAGATTTGTGTTATTATGTATTGATTAAATTTTTAATCCATTTTTAAGTTCTAATAAAATTATATAGTATGGAAAATTCACAGAATAAAAGGAGTAGGAGGATAAGAACTACAGAGAGATGAAAAGCTCGACTTTGCAAATGCAAAGGTTTACCAGATGGTTCATGGTTTTTGAACTTCACATCCCCTGTGATCATTTCAGAGATGCCAACGCTTCAACCTCAGTGAGACAGGAGGAAACAGAAAAGCAAGTGCCAAAGCTGCAGTGGGTGGGGCTGTTTAAAATACATCTTTATTTTCTTCAGACAAAAAAAGGATTAGTTTTAGAGACTTTTATTTCCTGATTAGGGGACCTGAGCGAATTTGTGAAGGAGCAGGCTTAGCCATATGGAAAGAGATGTTCTCTGTTCATCCGCCAAAATCAAAGAGCTCCAGAGCAGCCACAGACTCTGTTGTTACAGATCGTCAGAAAGTGGATAATCTGGGTGTTGAGCAAATCTAAAAGGTAAAGGGAGAGTCTTGGTCAAGTAACTATTTCTGCACTGAGTAAAGACAGGATTCTGTTAAATTTAGGCAGAAGCATGAAAATTAACATAGTTTCCGTTAGGTAAGTGCAAATCCAAGTTGTCTTATAATAACCGCGCACTGTTGCTTCACACTGTCATGAAGACATTGTGGACAGTAAGTGTGTCCACACACACAAGTACGTGATAACACCAGTACATCAGGTTGTGCAGGGATGTCACGCCACAGTGTAAGGAGATAAACTATTTGTGTGTATGCTTTGCACTCCTAGGAGGACAAAACCAAATTCTCTCTCTTTTAAAATAATGTCCAGTGTTTTAATATATAAGGTTAATAAATACAAATATTTTAAGGTGATGGTCAGAAAGGTGATAAAAAATTTCACTGTTCAATTTATTTCAAGCACTCAGAAATAAGTTATCGATGACTTTAATAGGAGAAAAAATTATAGTAAGCTTCAAGGTAGATATTCCACATTAGCAATGTAAACTGTGTATAAAGTAATAATTTTGAGATACAAAACACTAAATCATTAAATATTATTGATTGATATTGCTGTTGTTTATGGGTTATTGCCTGCATCTCCATTCTCTCTTACCTCTGGATCATTCTATTTCGTTATTTATTCAACCAGTGTTTATTGAGTACTGAGGGAGATGGTTGTTTAAGAACAAAAACAAAACAAAAAGGCTCCCCTCAGAACACAACACTCTGAAGTAGTAAAGAAAAGGTTACCCTAAGTCAGTAAACTCTGTGGCATGTTAGAAAGGCATCTGTCAAGAATGGGAATGAAGCTGCGTGGAGGGCGGGTGGGGGGTGAGACACGCCTGAAGAGTTGGATTTTCAGGGAAGTTGGGCGGCATATGGGTTGATCCCTGCAGGATGTGAGGGAGAAGCCCAGTGAGCTACCCAGACAAAGAGCTCTCCTGGCAGAGAACACAGCCACTGCACACACCCTAAGACAGGCCGGGACATGTGAGGGGTACAAGGAGGTCAGCAGGGCTGCCTCAGGTCCAGAGGGGAGAGTGGTAGGATGTGGACACAGGGATGGAGTGACTGTCAGCCCTGGTAGGTCTGAGTGAGGTGCACACGCTCTGTGTGCAGAAAGTGCAGAGACAGGCACCTGACTTCACACCTTTGAAACTGCTCCCTCTGCTGCTGGTTGTTCCCCCAGTGTCCACAGTGGGGTGAGTTACTCACAGAGAAGTACTATCAAAGTAGGTCATGTTCCTGTTGAGGCCGTCCAGAGTTTTCATATCCTCTGGTGTCAATTGGAAGTCAAAAACCTGTCCGAGTTGTGAGAGGCCAGTTCAGTTTCCTGGGACATCCTCTGTCCCTCTTCTCCCTCCCCACCAACACACAGATTCATGTAGGAATTTGTGGAGTTTATGAGACCTTTATCCTATATCTGGGATTCATGCAGTGGCTAAACTGATGGGAATCTGTTCATTCCAACAGTTGAGACTGGCATCTCTAATCTGCCCTCACGCTTTTATTGGGTAGCTGTTCTTGTAGCAAAGTCCAAATCTCACATGATCTAATTCCTTTACAGCTATAGAAGTCAAGGGATGATTGACCCAGAGCCATCCTGTAGGAGCAGAGCAAGGATTTAGACCCATCCTTGGCTCTGCACCCTGCGCTTCCTGGACATCACACACCCAGTCAGCAGTGGGAGGCTGAGACAGCCAGTGCAGTGTGACATGGCAGAGTGTGCCAGAGACAGCTCTGCCCACACCTCACAAGTGCCCGTCACCCTGTCAGCAGTGGGTGGCTGAGACAGCCAGTGCAATGTGACATGCAGAGTGTGCCAGGAGACAGCTCTGCCCACATCTCACAAGTGCCCGTCACCCCATCAGCAGTGGGAGGCTGAGACAGCCAGTGCAGTGTGACACGCAGAGTGTGCCAGGAGACAGCTCTGCCCACCCCTTACAAGTGCCCATGTGCCATGCCGAAGGATATGCCCTGTCATCCCCACTGCCTGCTGTGTACCTGGAAGTTCTCCCGGATTCTCTTCTCACTGAAGCTCTTGGCCAGGACCACCACACCTCGCTGCAGCTGGTAGCGCAGGGCCACCTGGGCTGGGCTTCGCCTGTGCTTTTCAGCAACTGCATTGAGCACTGGATCCTCCAGGAGATGTGGGTTGCCTTTTTTCACCCTGAGGGGAGAAGCAGAGATGCTACCCATTTGAAGTTGAATATCCACTTTACTTGGAGGCGTCTTCAAGCTGGGGATGCCTAATACCCTAGAACTACAGTCCCCAACCCCTGGGCCACAGAGAACCGGGACTGGTCACACAGCAGGAGGTGAGTGGCAGGCAAGTGAGTGAAGCTTGGTCCGTATGAACAGCTGCTCCCCATCACTCACAGCACCGCCCGAGCTCTGCCCCCGTCAGATCAGGGCAGCATTAGCTTCTCACAGAAGCGAGAACCCTGCCATCAACTGCGTGTGTAAACTACGTGGGAGAAGGGTCTGGTTGCAGCTCCTTGTGAGGATCTAACGCCCGATGATCTGAGACGGAGCGGAGGGGGGCTCTCACTGGTTCTGCATTAAGGTGACTTTCTAACTATTTCATGACGTCACACACGAATATAGAAACAAAGTGCACGATGAACGTGATGTACTTGAATCATCCTGAAACCATCCCCTCACCAACCGGTCCGTGGAAAAATGTGTCTTCCATGGAACTTGCCCCTGGTGCCAAAAAGGTTGGGGACCACTGCTCTAGGACCTCCCTTATTTCCCTCTGGCTGTCTCAATAGCTGTTTCGCTTCTTTTGTTATAGCCAAAGAAGAAGGAAAGGAAGGTAGCAAAGGAAATTCAGGTCCTTTTTTCATTTTTTTAGTATTTCTGAGAACTTAGTGAAAGACTAAATAAATAAAGCACACGCAATTGTTGAAAGTAAGACTGAATTTCCACCATAGTAAATAACAAACTATTGTATAAGAATTTGCTATTTCAAAAACACTTTCAATAATTTCATTATGTATTAATCATAGCATTTCATCGAGTCCTTACAATGTAGGTCTAGGTTAGGCAAAAGGTTAACAAAAATAAATTATTCCTGCTGTCTACCTTTAATTTCCCCAATTGAGAGATGAAGGTACAATATCTGTGATTCAAATAACTTTACAAAGATGATTACCAGTCCTTGGCTGAGTCGGTGCCCAAGGCCCCATACGCAGCCAAGACGATGTCTTTGGACTTGCAGAACTCCAGGAGCTGGCTCCGGTTGTAGTAAGGATGGCATTCCACCTGCACAGGACCAACCAGGAGTGTGAGGTTACAGGACTACCAAAGCCAAATTTACCAGAAACACACAGAGCTGTATTGCATGGTATCAAAAATACTCAAGGCCACCAGCAACAAGGCTGGGCACGGTGACTCACGCCTGTAATCTCAGCACATTGGAAGTCTGAGGGGGGTGGATCGCCTGAACTCAGGAGTTCCACACCAGCCTGAGCAAGAGTGAGACCCCATCTCTAAAAAATACCCGAGCATTGTAGCAGATGCCTATAGTCCAGTTACTTGAAAGGCTGAAGCAAGAGAATCACTTGAGCCCGAGAGTTTGAGGTTGCTGTGAGCTACGGCACCATGGCACTCTACCCAGGGTGACAGAGTGAGGCTCTGTCTCTTTAAAAAAAAAAAAAATACCAGCAACATTGGTCAACTCACGGGTCATCACCCATCACTCAGCAGCTGTACCAAAGGCTTTACTTTAAATCACAGCCCAGGGCTAGCAGAGCAATACAGAGTCAGCAATTAGCTCCTGCTCTTGGAGGACAGGGTGAGATACAAACAGATGCGTCTCCAGACTGAGACGCCACAGTGGGAGCTGTGGTTCTTGCTCACTTACTGTCTGTATATAATTTAGAGAGTTAGAAGAATTTTCGGCCTTTCTTAGTGCTTTAAACCCAGCATTCCTTATTTTTATGTCTTCTCTTCAATAGAGAGGCTTCATTGTAAGGCTGCTACCCTTGGGGCCAATGAAATCATCCTCAAAAACTGTTTTTAACCCTATTGAGATATAATTGTTTTATGGAGAAGCGCGACATTCAAAGTCTGTGTCCCGAGGAGTCCGGAAGCCACACGCACCCGTGACACCCTCACCTCAGTCAGGACGCCACACACATCAGCACCTCCAGAAACTTTGCTGTGTTCTTCTGGGCTTGGGGTTTGGGATTTGGTTTGTTTCGGGAGGCTTTTTTAAAATAAGAACACTTAATAGGAGATCTATCCTGCACACATGTTAAAGTGAACATACTGTTAACTACAGGTATAATAATGTCCAAAACATAAAAATCTCCTATAGCTCAACAGCAAAAAAATAACCCAGTTGAAAAATGGGAAAAGAACTTGAATAGATGTTTCTCCAAAGAAATCATCCCTCAAATTTGACTTTTTCCTCAGGTCATCCTTGGGCTCCAGGAACTGAGATGTTTTCCTTTCCCCTTTCTGACCATGTCACACGGGACACCTGTGCTTGATCCTTAAAGCCCCCTGAATCTGCCCCACCCTGAGCAACTACACCCATCCCCTTCCCCGGCTTCAGTCTCGTCCCAAGTGGACGGGGATTTGGAAACACTTTAGCCCTTTTACCATCAGGTGGAAATAAATTGACAGTTGTTATTAGTCAGAACAAAGTCATCAGCCTCATCACATTCACACATTCCAACTGACAGGTTACTGTGCTGTGATCTCACTTTTCCATTTTTCTCACTTCTGTGCACATGGAGAGTAAGAGACTAGGGTTCTTACGCTGAACTTTAAGCGTTTCTTTTTGTTCCTTTGTCCAGATGATATGTGGGCCAAGACTGTGGCCTTCACCAATGGGATGGGCTGTCTAGGGGCCAACTCACAACCAGCAACGGGTGCAGATGCACTTTTAAAAATGATAAAACTAATAGAATTGTTTGAGAATAGTAACACATTTACTGAAAAATTATCGGAAAGTTCTCCATACCCTGCTCCTGCCACCCCAGCCCCTAATTTCTCCTGTAATTTAATCATACGTATTAGTGCGGTACACTTACTGCAGTTAGCAAACCAACACCGATACATTATCATGGGGCTCACGCTTAAAACCACAGATCTTTTCTTTTGAGCAGTTTTGGAGTTTACAGGGGAAGAGTTTGAATTAAAAGTGGGAAGCTCTCATCTATCGCCTCACTCCCCTCCTCCAATTAGCCTATTATTACTTTTTTACATTAATATTGCATATTAATTACAATGATAAGCCAGTGTTGACATATTATTATTAAGCAAAGCTCATAGTTTATGCTAAGCAACTCTCTTTGTGCTGTGCAGTTCCTGGGTTTTGACAAATGGAGATGGCACGCACTCACTATCACAGACCCTAGGACACCATAGTTACACTGCCCTAAAAGTCCACTCTGCTCCTCCCTCCCACCTTTGAACCCCTGACCTGGCAACCACTGATGGTTTAACTGTGTCCATAGTTTTGCCTTTTGCAGAGTGCCATGCAGTTGGAATCCTGTGGCGTGCAGCCTTTTCAGACTGGCTTCTCCCACTTAGTAACGGACATTTAGCTTCCCTCATGTCTTTCCATGGCTTGATAGCTCTTTTTATTGCTGAATAATATTCCTTTGCCTGGGTGTACCACTCACATACTGAGGGATATCTTAGTTGCCTCAAAGTTTTTGCAGTTATGAATAAAGCTGCTATAAACAACTGCGTGTAGGTTTTTGTGTGAACGTAAGTTTTTGGCTCATTTGGGTAAATACCAAGCCACATGATTGCTGGACCATGGGATGGGGTGAGAGCACATTTAGTTCTGTAAGAGCTGCCAGCCTGCCGTCAAAGTGGCGGTGCCATCACATACTGCCACCAGCAGGGAGCAGGTGTCAGTCACCACATTCCCACCGGTGTGTCCTGTCATCAGTATTTTGGGTTCTATGCATGTGACAGGTAGACCGTGGTACCTGGAGTTTCAATCTGCAATTCTCTAGTGACACATGATGTCAGCAACCTTTGCATCTGTATATCTTTGTAGAATTGTTCAGATCCATTCCTCATTTTCAAGTTGGGCTCTTTGCGATTCGTTCTGGTTGAGTTTAAAGATTCCCTTGTGTATTATGGATATCAATCTTTTATCGGATACGTGTTTTGCAGTTATTCTCTCCCCTCAGGAGCTTGTCTTTTCATCCTTTTAGCAGACTGTGTGGATTCTGCCTGCTGGAACTGCATCCGTCCCTTCATGCTCATGCACAACTTGAGGTCTTTAGGAAGTGGCCACTTCAGAGCCCCGTGGCCAGAAACTGAGACGGTCCTCTGATATTCATCATGAAAATGTGGTAGGCTCCCACAGGTAAAACTCACGCAGCACAGAGGTGTCCCCAGGACCGGAGCCCTCTGCAGTTCTTCCTGGCCTCGTCCACGCCGAGCCTCCAGCAGCTTGTCAAAGACAGTCTGTGTCCTCCTGACCCGCCCCCCCAGCACTGGGTCCGGCTGTGGATTCTGCTTCTGGGCCCCCGCAGGAAGTGGTGGTACTGTTAGTATCAGCCTGTCTCTAGAATTTGAGGGACAGTATTTTCTCCTGTGACCTCAATTATTTGATGTATCTAAGAACAATTATTAGTTTTCTGCTTGTCCAGTTGTTCTCCTTACCATGAGGACAAATGTCTTCCAAGCTCTTGATCTGCTAGCCCAGAACAAGAAGCTGGCTGGATGCACTTTTTTCCATTGTTTGCCTGGGCTCTGGTGATAAGAGGAATGGGCAGAGATGTAAAGAGAAGCCAGAGGCCTCAGGCAGGCCTCCCTTGTGCTGTGCTCTGCCCCAGGCCTGCAGGCGAGGCCCGGCGTCAGGTCCCCAGGCTGGCTCAGGCCCAGGTGCAGACTGGCTCTCCATGACTCTGCCCACATGTTTGCTGCCTCAGCCATGAACACCCAGGAGGAGGCCGGGCAATTTGTTGGAGTAAAAGCAGTCCTGGACCCTGTCACACCTCACCGAGCTGACTGCTCACTGGGCCCCGTGTGCTGCACAGACCGTAGTGAGCCATACTTCGGCTCAAGCTTTCCATGCTCTGCGGTCTCCCTCTCAACCACTCAGCCTCCACTGGGCCCCATGCCTTTCACCCTTTAGAGCTCAGGGGAGGGTCTGGCTTCCTTTTTGATTCTTTACCAAGTACCACAGTCAAACCAGTTTTTTTTCTTTTTCTTTTTCTTTTACTACATTAGTGATGCCCAGAATGCAGGTAAACTTCCCAGGGGACACAAAAGAAAAATTTTAGAACTCCTACTTGTATTTTTCATCCAAAAGAATAAACCTTACAAATATTTAACATATGGATAGATTCTCCTGACTGTCTGCATGTTAAATGTGCCAACGGCAGCATGGCCTCTGTGGCAGGCAGTGTCCCTGGTCCCTGGACTCACATGAGTTTTGTCATAATCATCCTTCATATGGTTCCATTTTATGTGGGTTTACCCTATGAGCAGGCCTCTAAAAATAATCCTTAACTTTTTATTGTAGTAAAATGTACATAACATACGTTTTACCATCTTAACCATTTTTAAGTATCTTTAAGCACATTGACATGGTCCACAGCCATCATCATTCATCTCCAGAGTAGCCTTTTAAATGCAGTAGCTGTCCCTGAGTTTGAGAGAGGTGTGCCACTGACAGGCTCAGTGGTTATCTCATGGCCCAGAACCGAAAGGGGTCGTCAGACTTGGAGATGAATCTCCTCTCTTCCTTTACATGCCTGCGTTCCAGACCTACTGGCCTTCTACGTGACGGGGAGTGGCTGTTAGGCATTTACTGGCTCCCACTCCTAGGACCAACCCCAGGAACACCTAGTAAACGTGCTGTTAGTAGAGAAAGCCTGGAGATGTTTTCTGCAAAGTGACATGGCCTGATGCATCGGCTCAATAACTTGAAATGTGTTCTGTTCTCTTGAAGCATCTGATGTTCCAAAGTAAAATACATGAGAGGGGGATGTCCCTGGTGACCTTGTCAAACCAAGGAGAGAGAAAGCTGAATAGCAGAGCCAGAAGTTGGTGGCCAAACTGGCGGAGCTCACCTGGTTGCAGACGGGCTTGTACCTGAGCCCGGGCTTGTTCAGGATCATCTCCAGCTTCCTGCGGTTAAAGTTGGAGACTCCGATGGACTTGGCCAATCCCGCATCCTTACACTTCTCCAGGGCCTGGGAAGGAAGGGTTGATGAGAGGTAACCTGTGTAACAGGCTAGACAAGAGAAATAAATGCTAGCATTCAATACCGATGGGGTGGGGGTGGGAGCATAGGAGATTGGGGCAGGCCCAGGCTCTCAAGGTGCAGGTGTCAATCATGAACAGGGATTGATTAAGAGAAAAATGAAAAGTAATAGGGAAAAAATATGTCAAAGGGTAGAGGAAGGAAAGAGTGCAAGTGGCCAGGTTGGAACTAACGGAGTCAAAAGCCTGGAATCAGCAAAGCTGGAGTGGCCAGGGGCAGCGTGGAAGGCAGGAATGCACCTGCCAGCCCTCTGGCTCCCTGTTCTCTCTGCCCCCAGCTCCTACCATCCGTCTCACCTGCTCTGTCCCAGTCTCATCTGTCCCCTTGTTGTTCCTTGAACATGGCAGTTTCTCCCCTCCTAAAAGGTTTGCCTTGGCCCACTTTCTCCCTGTGCCACTGTGTCTCCAGACACCCATACAATCAGTTCTTCCATTTACTGCAACTCTTTGCTCAAACATCACCCTTTCAAAGAGGCCTCCCCGCTACTCCGTCCTTAATTGCTGATCTGTGCCCCAAACCCACCCAGGTACTCCATCCTCCACTCAGCTCTGCCCTGCCACTCCACACCCGGGACCTCGCTGTTCCCCGATGCTGCCCGAGTGCGTGGAGCAGAGTGCGGCACACCAGCCACTCAGTAAACACGTATATGGGATGACTAAGGGAATAGCATGTGACAACAGAGGCACAGGGCCAGGCGGGGGTGCTCCTGAGCTTGAATGGGCAAAACTGGGCCAGATCCCTCTTTCCTGAGCCCCTTTCCTGAATTCTCAAGGTGTAGACACGGCCTCTCTGGAACTTCACTCACCTCCCACGTGCTGCAGAGATCCACAGTATCAAAAATGATTTTTCCATCTGTGTCCTTTGGGAAAAAGTCCTCCCCAGGCTGGAATACAGGAGAGAAGGACAGCTTGTACAAGGCCGCCTGACCCCAGCCCAGCTGTTGGGGGCCTGAGACCTTGAGATCAATGGAACAGTGTGTCCTTATTCTTGGGAGGGTTGTAAAGTTAGGCTAAAGGCGAAGGAAGTACACTGAGGAAACACTTCCTAGAAATGCTTTGAAGTGCTCAAAGTTTCATAAATACTGTCTGTGTCAAGGTCCACCTGAGGCACCTAGGACCCACCCTAACCAGAGCCCAGGGTGGCATCATGCCCCATGGTCCTCAGCCCTTGCAACGAGCTCTCAGCCTGGCGAGCATCTTGTCGGCATCTCCATGCAGGCTCCCATCTGCATTAAACTTTCTCTCCCTGAACGGCACTGCACATGAGGACACTCCCTGCACCAGTGAGCATGGGCTGCGATGCCAGAGCGTGGAAACTCGAAAATACAGGCAGCACCCCCCCATGATTGAGGCGGAGGTGCTGGTAGCAGTGACCCCATTGCCCTCAGGCTAAAGGAGTGAACTGGGGTGGGACCACAAACTGTGCTGTCCCAGATCAGCAAAGTGAACAGCTGGTGCTGACCTTGAGCGACACCGGGAAGTGGATCAGGTAGAGATCCACGTAGCTCAGCTGCAGTTTCCTCAGCGACCTTTCCAGGCATGTTTGCACCAACTCTGGACGTAAAAAGGTGCACCACACCTGCAATGGTTGAAATAGCAGCCATGTGGGATAATTTCCTCAAAAGTCCTTAGGAGAGATATCAAAATGGCAAGTAAACAACCTCGACAACCAGAATCCCTCCTGCAGCAGAGACGTGACAAGTTACCCAGTGAGGCTCCTGAGTGCTTCCTCACCATGGCACATTTTCATACTAAATTAAGGCAATAAATGTGGACAATACAGGTATGATTTTACAGCAGAGTTTCTCAAATTTCAGAATATAAAATTACCAAGTTTGCCAGTACAACCCATATTTCCTGGCTCCTAGCACACTCACATTAGCTGGAAACCAGCCTGGGCAGTTGTCTGCTGGACAAGAGCCCCAAGTGTTTTTCCATAGGAAGTTAAGCCCACGAGAAACTCTCCTGGGAATAAGTTAGTCACTTCATTTTAAGAAGTGTTAATCTAGGGGAAAATTAATCAAAATGACTAAAGTAAAGGAAACAAATGTTTTGTATGAAAGGAGAATCCAAAGATGAATGTGGAAGGCTGGTGCTATAGCTGCACCACCTGCCGAAACGGTTATGTGCCACATTGCTGGTCCCGAGAGGGCAGGAAGATCCCTTGACAGACTGCAGAGACTGACATGCATGGGCTGCAACGCAGCCTTTCTAGGCTACTGTGCCTCAAATTGTGTGTGTGTGCTGTGTGCACACGTATGTGTACTGTGTGCATGTGTGTACCGTGTGTGCTCTGTGTGCATGTGTGTACCGTGTGTGTGCTGTGTGCATGTGTGTGCTGTGTGTACTGTGTGCATGTGTGTACCGAGTATGTGCTGTGTGCATGTGTGTGCTGTGTGCATGTGTGCACCATGTGTGCTCTGTGTGCATGTGTGTACCGTGTGTGTGCTGTGTGCTCTGTGTGCATGTGTACATGCGTGGACATATGTACTCTGTGTTGTGTGCATGTTCCCATGCACGTGTGTGCTCATGTGTGTGTGTACTGTACCTATGTGTACTGTGTGTGTGCTGTGTGCATATCTGTACCATGTGCATGTTCCCACACATGTGTGCACGTGTGCCATGTACTGTGTGCGTGTATATGTGTGTGCTATATACTGTGCACGTGTGTGTGTGTTTTCCCGACAGCAGCAGCTCAGTAAACACCAGGAGCTTCCTCTGCAGTCTGATATCTAAGTCCTTCTCCTTGTTGTAGATATGATGTCAGAGGATAGAGAGGATTTTAGGAGGAAATGGCTCAAGAATATTGTTTAAAGTACAGCAGTACTTTCACAGACATTAATTTCATCCTCATATATGATTCCTGCTTTACAAGGATAAGAATTAAATATGCAATGACCACAAAGTAGCTTGAGATCTGAAGACCAAGGCTCAGAGAGGCTAAAAACTACTTTGGGGCTAAGAAATGTCAAAACAGAACATCAAAAAATTAAAATTTGATCCTATTCTCCTCTGATCCCAAGCCACGCTTTCTTGCCAACTCTCATTACCTCAAACTATGGCTAAAGATCAAGTCACTTTGTCAAAACTTGAGTACAGCAGAGTTGGAAAGGCCCAGTCATTCCTGTGTTTTAAAAAACACGGTTATAAGAACAGCCAGCATTTTTGAGCATTTAAGATTGTGTCAAACACTTTTCTATGAGCTTTACGTGTATTTTTCTTAATGTAACGCTCATAAAAATCCTGGGAGGTGACTAATATCTTCATTTTACAGCCCGTGATACTGAAGGATAGAGTTTAGGTATTTTGTGCCAGGTCACACATTCTGTAAGGGACAGAGCCTATTGTCAAAGTCTGATACAGAGTCCAGGCTTTTCATGGTACAAATCCATGATCTTCATGGATGAAGATCAGACCAATACAGAGAGAAATTTGCTGAGAAATTGTACGGCTAAGCTGGGGCTCCCCGCAGCTGCAGTGCCGCTGAGCACAGCACCTTGGAGGTGTAGAATACATCTTCTCTCCTCACAGCGCCACTGGCCATCTTCCTCCGGAGAGCCTGCCCGATCTCCTCCTCATTGAGATACAAGTACGCTGAGTCAAAGTGGCGGTAACCTACTTCGATTGCTATCTGGATGGCCTCCTCTACCTTACTTTTAGCAACCTAGAAGAATGTGAAAAGATAAAGACTTAACTTGACTCCAAACAGAAGACCAATTCCATACACAGAGCTGTTCAGCAGAATCTATTGTTTTCGTAAAGGCCAAGCAGTAGAGGTCACAGAGCTAGAGGATGAGGTATACATGATTGTGAATATTTAACAACCGAGCCCCTAAAGAGGAGAAGTCCTGGTTTGTGTGTCTTCCAATTTCTGTGGTGTAAATACTCCCACCACGGCAAATTTTAAGCTTCCAAAATTAGGAAGAGATCCCCATAAGATCCTGGTTTTTAACTCCCTCCTGTATATTGACACCATCTACATGATCCAGGGATTTACACAATCTAAAGATTTATACTCTTAATTCATTCTATGAGAGTTTATTAAATTGGTTTCAGCCCAGGAATTCAATGAGAATAATTATCTATCAATGCAAAGATGTAACTGTAGACACAATAAATTCATGATTTCCCTGCCTAAACTTGGAAGAGTGCTTCAAAGAACATTTGAGGAAGGAGATAAATGTAAAATAAAAAACTTTCTTTCACTCAAAAAAATCTAATTATTTGTTACATTAGTTCTTAGGTGACACTTTCCCCTTCAAAATGTAGTTATTTTTCTTAGGTACCTGCTGTCCTGTGCCCGTCCGTAATTTTTCTCTTCCCATTACCAGGTTCTATACCTCACTCAGTAATTAAGATGCCTCTTGGGCACATTTCTTTTATTTCCAACTCCTGATGAGTCAACCAAGTTCCAATCCCCAAATTACAGCCACGTCAAGCCAGAAGCTGCACCTCCTGCCAGGCTTTTTGCTAACAGCCTTGTGCCTTACACGTTGGGAAGTCAATCCTACAACTTTTCTAAACAATTATAAACTTTATCACAAGAACCACAGAGATGTGTCCTTGGGAGTGTTCAGTGTTGGAGCCAGAAAAATGCACAGAGTTCCGCGGCCCACAGAAAGGGAGAATTCCCACTTGGCTTTCCCCCCACACAGCCTTAACAGCCTGGCCCTGAGGAGACTGTGTTCACCCCAGACCACCCTCTAACTTGTCCCTCTGTCTCCAAGTCCCGTTGCCACAAAGCTATCTCTAAACAGTCTGACTGGTGGTGGACATTAAAAGTGACAGAGTGACTTCTTCAGAAGCCAGTTTGCTGTGAAGCTTCTGACAGATGGTCATCATGACAACTGGCTTTGTTTATTCTGATACCCTGTGAAACGGCTAGAACTGGACGGCCAGTGATAATAACAAAAAACAGACTTACCCCAAATTCTGAAGATGGCCCTTGAGCAGTGCCACTCCAAGTGAGGTCCTGGGCAGGCAGCATCAGAACCACTTGGGTTCATTAGAAATGTCAATTTTAGTGCCTTAGCCCAGACCTATTCCAGGGATCAGAGGCTTTGGAGGCAGGGCCTCCAGATCTGCATTGTAAATTTGAAAAGTACGGACAGTGATGCACAAGCTAACCTAGCCTGAAGAGATGTGTTCTACAAATGAGAGAAATGGGACCCACATGAATTTCCCAAACTCACACGGTGACCGCTTCTGGCAGGAACCACGTCCGCCACCCCAAGCCAGTCCAGGCCCAGTCCCAGGCGTCTACCTTACTAGGAGCGGAGGTGCCGAGCCCCAGTGTGGGCATGAAATGTCCATCATTCAGCTTTACGGAAAGGGGTACGGTACCACTCATCTTCTCCCACTCTCCTGTGAAACAGACGCGGCTTTTCTTCTTTGATAAAAGAAACCTGTGGAGGGAAGAAAATAGCACAGTGGACATTTTTTTCAATAACAGCTTTAATGAGAATAATTCACATGCCATGAAATCACCCCCTTTAAAGTAAGCATACGATTCTGTGGCTTTCAGTATCATATACAGTTGTAGACCATTTTTCTCATGCGTATCATCAAAGAAACCACACGCTCATTAGAAATGACTTTCTGTTCCCCTCTCTTCACCCCCGGCAACCACGACTGTCTGCGTGAAGCTGCTGCCTCTGGAAATGTGATAGAAATGGATTCGTAGAACTCCTGGCTTTTTGTAACAGCCTTTTATTATTCAGCATAACTTTTTCGAGTTCAGCACGTATTAGTACTTTATTCCTTCTTATGCCAAATAATGTTCCATTCTATGGATATACTACATTCTGTTTAACCATTCACTGATGTCTAGAAGTGGAATTGCTGGGTTATATGGCAAATCTATGTTTAACCTTTTGAAAAATTGCCAAATGTTTTCCAAAATGGCTACACTATTTACATTACTAACCAAAATGTATGAGTTCCCATTTCACCACAGCCTCTCCGACTTACTATCTTTTTAATCATAGCTAGCTATCCTAGAGAGTGTGAGATGGTGCCTTTAGGATTTGATTTTCCTAAAGACTTGTCATAGGGACCATCTGTCCAAGTACTCACTGGCCATGTATATATCATTTTATGGAGGACTATGTATGCATAGAATTTGCCCAGGTCTTCATTGTAGTATTTGTATCAAGTTACATGTATGTATATATACTCTAGGTATAAGTATTTCAACATATAAAAGATAAGCAAATATTTTCTTTCATATGAGTGGTTTTTTAACTTTTCTGATGGTGTCTTTTGAAGCATAAATGTTTTAAATTTTAATGAAATTCAACTTATCTATTTTTTGTCACTTTTGCTTTTGGTACCATATATCATACATCTAAGAAATTATTGCCTAATCCTAGGTCATGAAGACTGATGTGTATGTTTTCTTTTATGCTGATACATCACATCCTTGGGCAAATAATGTCTGTTTTTAATTGCTTTTTAATGTATTCAAATTGAGAAATATAGTTGGGATCAGAGTTAGAACTTTATTAAATAGTTTAAAGACAAAAGTGAAAATAGTTGTGCTGTTTTAATAATCAAAGATTGACCATTCTACATTTATGTAGCAATGATATACATTCATTGAGGTCATCAGATTTCTCTTCTGTCATGTATTAGAGAAGATTTCATTGAAAGAGCCTGCATAATATTATTAGGTTGTAAATTTCTGAACTCTAACTTTGTTTTAACCTTGCAAGTTCCATCCCTCCCAGGCCTAAAGTGATGTATTACGACATCTCCTGGAGCTGTTGGTGGGAGGCAGTGTCGGAGAAAGATGAAGATCCAGGCTCGGGCGAGAGGCTCACTGACTCCCGGAGACCAGCGGGCGTGACCGAGGTAAAGCAAGAGTGATGGGCCGTGACTGAGAAGATACTTTTTTATTGCAATTTCTACTTCCTTTGATTCTACAGAATCTTTCCAGTGACCCCCAAAGCCTAGGAGTCCAGCGAATCATCAAAGAGGGTTGTGACTGAAAAACAGCAGGAGGAAGCAGAATGTCGGCACAGAAGTGTGCAGTGGCTGTGTGGCTTAGACCATTGTCCCCAGTCAGAACAGGACTTACAGATCTAATCACTGGGCAAACAGTCATCAGAAACAATGAGACAGAATTTGAAAATGTTGGTGAAAGAAACATCGTGTCAGCAGAACATGATGCAGGAGCCTGTAGAGACGGACTAACTAGCAGCAGAAGAGTGAGCTTGAGCTAGACCAAAGGAGCAGCACATCCCGGGCAGCGAGCTACTGACTTGGAACAAATGGAGCGTGTGGGATCCCAAGCTGGAGGCCTGGAGGATGAATCCCTAAGGAGAGTTTGCCAGCCACAGAATAAAGGGACTTCAAAAGGAGAGAAAGCTTCACAGGCAAAATGCCAGCGGTACAAGAAAAATTAATGGAGCAACCAGAAATGATTGCTGCTCTGCAAAATCGTGTCTACAGTTGAAAAGGGGGAAGAAAGTGCACTGTCGCTCAAAACAAGAGAGCTTGCCTGTGTCTGCAGAAGAGTTCCTCAGACCATCGTGGATAGATAGTTGCTTTGCCCAATTGTCCTGAACCCAAAATTACAAAAATCCATCCACAAAGGCAACATAAAGAAGATGAAAGGCAGTCAGAAGAAGAAAAAGATGACAGCAATCTCTATGCCGCACCAGCTTATAAAGGCCTCCTAATGTCCTCACAGAAGAACTCGAGGACTTAATGTCTAAGTGAAAAGCTCACCCTCCAAAAAGCTCTGAAAACCAGGCCCACACAACATGCATCAAGACTTTATAAACAGCAGGTGAAGAAACTGGAAAAGGCCTCTAAGAAAAGCATCAAATTAGTCACAGAAAGATAAGCCCAGCGATTAGAACCAACACCAGGCCCTGGCTGAGCAGAGGCACGTCCAGGCTCTGGGTAGAGTCTGTGCCGTTCTCCACAGTCCAAGAGCTCCGGGAATAATGTATAAGCAGAACAAAGGAGAAGCCCAAAACTTCAGTGAAGTTCCTGTTCAAGGTCATGGATTTGAGCATCCTGTTCCTGAAATAGAAACATGGGCAGACCAGCTGGCAAACCTAAGCGACTTGTGCAAGTCTTTGAAAACAACCATCTGCAGGACCGGCGTCCTGGCGTAATTTAAAGGAGCAGGATGAAAATGAAGGCATCAAAGTTGGATACCATGTTGGAAGAAGGGGAAAGTAAGGAGAGGGACAGCAGTATGACGAATTTGCAAGCATTGCAGCTACTTACTGTCTCTCACTCCCCAAAATTGACGTGCCTTCTTTAAATGGAGTCTGTCCCTGAGTGAGTGAGGTTCACACTAAGCTTGGAGACAGGAACGATCTCTTGGAATTAGAGAACCGTCTCCATTGTGCGTTGCTGTAAGCACAGCTGGGAGATCTGTGCAGGCTGATTAGTGAGAAAGTGAAGGAGCCCACTGAGCAGGTGTTGGGACCTGAGCACCTTCAAAGCATTAGCTTTGGAAGCTGATGAGTTAGAAGAACATGAGGAATTTTTTTCCAGAATTTCAGGCATTTTACTAATGATCTACTTGAAATCTTAGAAATCTATGACTTGGATGCCATTGTACCTGCAGTAAAGAAATCAAAAGTACTTTCATACTGAAAACATATCAAATCATTTTTACCGTGTAAATTGCATTCTTAACATTTTGTATTTTGTAGGACTGATCTTACTTTGAAACAAGGGCTATAAAATGCATTTGCTCTCAGAATTCATGGCTTTTTTTTTTAGAAGTGGGTCATTCTCCATCTACCTAATGTTTATTAATTTAAAGATTCTTATACAGAAAAATGGTGCTAAACTAAAGTAGTAAATTAACTTTAAATCTGTTAATTATTTCTTAACTAATTCTTGAGTGCTTAAAATTTAAGGTTGAGTTTGTGAGTAAAAGAGGAACTCAAGAAGAGAGATATTCCAAATAAGTTCAGGGTCTAGTGACCTTTGGATCAGGGTAAAAGACATGCCCATGGTAAGTCCAGCCACTAGGAAGCTATGGCTCTCCCATAAGGACTAATTGGCACATTCTATTCAGATAGCCCTTCAATACATTTGCTCTTTCAAAGCAGGAAGAAGAAAAGAAAGAAAGAAAAAATGTTGTATCATTTACATTAGAATAGGAAGTGAAGCCTGGCATAAAATAAGTAGATAAGTAGTCCCTCAGAAAATGAAAAGGATCTTTTTTGCAACCTTGATGTAATGCACTTTTTATAAGGATTTGAGGCCTTAAATAAAATTTTGTAAATAAATAAATAAAACACCTCCTCCCCACCACACAACAGAGACCCTGCTCAAGTTACTAAGAAGTATATTCAATCTAACTTACACATATAAAATATATATTTTAAAATGATATCATTTCCATATGTCTGCTTAGAACTTTTTGACTGAGGATGTCCCATATAGGCAATGAGATTGTTCTGCTGATCACGGAATAGACATTGATAGGGCACACCCTTTTAAGAAACTGATTTGGAAACATCAGTTAAGACCTTCAGCTTTGATACAAAAATTCAATTTCTAGATCCCATTCTAAATAAATGATCTAACTTTTCAAAAAGATCTATGTAAAGGTGTTTATTTCAACATTATTAATAATAGACAAAAGCTGCGGAGCACTCAAAGATGACCAAGGCCTTAAAAATCATTCTAACTTATGTCTATCAATCATAATACCTTGATAACATGTTTAATAGGATGGAGAAGTGCAGACAGTAAAAGTAATGCATACAAACAATATTTACGCAGATTTTACAGGACAGAAAGTTATGAAACTATTCCGTTAAGTGAAAATACAGAGATGGTGTATGAAGTAAGATCTAACCATGAAAACAGCATATCAATGGAATATGATATTCCGAAATGTTGGTTACTATGACTTTCTATTCATAATAGTTTTTAGGATTTATAAATCCAAGTGTCCTATTTTCAAAAGCCAGATTAAAATTTATTTTAACATTTTCTGCCTGTGCAGATTCTCCGGCAGCACTGGCTGGCATGGGCTCAGCCTAGTCCCATTAGAGCCCCCAAAAGCCTTCTTTCCAACCTGCTGTCACGGCCCTGCTCCCCAGCACTCCTCGCTCCTCACCCTTCACCATGACTTCTGATCTTGCCCCTAGTTTCCTAAAGCTGCTTTCATCTCTGTCTCCCTGAGGGTGGAAGTTTGCTGGGAGCCTTGAGCGTACCCAAAGACAGCTCCCGAGTACCTTCCACTTGTCCCCTCGGCCATGCCAGGGGCAGTAGAATTGCGATATTTTGTTGCCCAGGGCTCTGATTCAGCCTCTGCAGTGCCCTCCTCACTCCTTTTCCTCAGTGCTCCTCAGACCTGAGTCTCGGCCTGCGTATTCCTCTGGTCATTTTCCTTTCACTTAGACAACTTCTTTCGCCAAGTAACTGTCAGCATAGTAGAAATTACTAATGGTCAGTAACACCTCACACTCTAAGAAACACAGCAAATTAAGTTGAAAAATAATGTGAACTCACACCTTTAAAATCTTTTCCAGCCCCGTCTCTCCTAAAGGTGTCACACACCGTACAGCAACACTTTCAACCCCAGAAATTTCCACGTGCACCAGCAATGATCAAAATTTGGTTACTGAGTCTACTTCCCTCTGAGAATGCCATCTTCTAGTGTATTAGCTATGTTCGTTCTTGAAACGGAAAAATTCGAGACGAATCTAAATATTGTGTTATTGCTAGAAAGCCAAGCTGGTTTCAAAGGCTGCACCAAACCATCCTGAAAATACAAAACTGCCTCCCGACATCCAGTCCTGCCAGACATCCATGACAGCCGGAAAATAAAAATCAGGTCAACATTGTTATCTGGAACAAGTAGAATTGATAAAAGCGGCAAATCAAAAATTATACTGAAGAATTCAAAACAAATGTGAAGTTTAAGAAAGGTTGAAATATTAAGAGTGAATAAAATATGTTTAATTACTCAGAGACCTTCCTATGTCGGGACGGCAGGGAGTGCCTTTCCCTTCTGGATTGTGGTCAGGTCAGAGAATAGAGGTGTGCACTTCTTTCTGGTTTTGGAAGCTGGAGATTGAGAGCAAACTAAACAGTTCTGATAATGCCCCAGGTACAGGAACAGATCAGTACAATCAGTCACTAGTCCCAATGTGCAAGGAACAGATCAGTACGATCAGTCACTAGTCCCACAAAATAAAGGTCAAACACCTCAGTGACGTGTGGGTGATGCAACACTGATAACTGGTGACTCCAAAAAGGCACCACTCAGGGTCACACGGGATGCAAAATGACTAAAGGCAAAAGGTATAAACATTCCTAAAAGGGTGCAGAAGATAAAGTTTTACCTCGGAGAGAACTCAGCCTAAATGTCAGTGACCTTACGTCTGAATTATCCCTGAAGAAGCACATGTGCCTGGCCCCCTGGGAATTGCTGATCCCGGTTCAGCAATTCCGGTGAACTTTGTGAATGCTGAAAGTAAGCTCAAGTTCATATAACTTTTAGGCGTCATGAAATACTATTAATCGTTTACACTTTTCTTTTACATTTTTTCAACCATTAAAAATGTATAAACCATATTTAGCTCATGGGCCTTATAAAAACTCAGGCAGTGTGGCGAGGCCGGTGGGCCATAGCTTTATGTGATTAGTAGACATTGCTACGAGGGCTATAATTATCCTTCTATAAATTATTGTGCGGTTTGGGGGGTTTTGTTGTTGGGGGGACAGAGTCTCACTTGTCACCCCTGGTAGAGTCCCATGGCCTCACAGCAAACTCAAACCCTTGGGCTCAAGCAATTCTCTTGCCTCAGCCTCCCAACTAGCTGGGACTACAGGTGCCCACCACAACGCCCAGCTGTGCGTGTGTGTGTGTACGTGTGTGCGTGTGTGTGTTTTAAGACGGGGTCTCGCTCTCACCCAGGCTGGTCTCGAATGTCCCAGCATCAGCAGCGTGAGGCATTGCTGTGAACTCAGGCAACCCACCAGCCTCAGCCTCCCAGAGTGCTGGGATTACAGGCATGACCCACCGCGCCTGACCCTAAATCATTTTTTTAGTTGTGGTAAAATAAACATATTTATTTTTTAACCTTTCATAAGCATACAATTGAGTGGCATTAACTACATTCACGATGTTGTCTAACCATCCTGCCGCTCCATACCCAAAACATTTTCGTCATCCCCTGGAGAAATCCCGTACCTGGTACAGAGGTTGCACGATGGCGCTCCACGGGCGGGGCGCGGTGTCCCACCTTTCCCCGAGACGCAGCAGCAGGCGAGGCGTGGGTGCCACGACCCGCAGACGCACCGCCACGGCTGAGACGCCGGCCAGGACGCAGGTGGCCCCGAGATGCGCTCACCTGCTCCCCGCCAGCGCAGAGCGCTTTCAGCTGCAGCCCCGCGGCCCCGCCCCCGCCCGCCCCGCAGGCACCTGTGCGCCTGTCCATTCGGCCGCATGGTCACCGCCTTTGGCCCTTGAATGCTGCATCCCGCCGCCACCCCGCGACCCCCGCCCGGGGCTGGCCTGCGTTCCGTTTCTCGGTCTTTCAGCACAGCGCTCTGGTTTTCCTACAGCAAGAAAATGTGCTCAGAGAGTAAGAGACGCGTGTGGATTCTGCAAGAGCGACGCTGCCTCCGGGGTCGTGCGCGCTCCGAGCATGCCCGCGCTCTCACAGGGCTGCCCGTCCAGGGAGAGGGATCTAGCCATCGACCCGGTAAACAGGAGTTTGACACTTTACCTAAGGGTCACAATCACTGGTTCAAGGACCAGTATTCCTTGGGATTTTTCCACTAGGTCCGCATAACCCTCTCAAACTCCAAGGTTAAGAGGATCTTAATTCACACTCACATTCTAAATTACAGACTCCTGAGGCTCGGCATCCTGGCGGGCGACCGGCTCCGGTCCTGGCCCCCAGGCCCCCAGCCCAGCCCGTGCCCTGTGTCCCCAGCGCGGACTTGCGGGGCCTCGCGGCAGCTTCAGTGCTACCGTGTGGCTTTTCCCCACTACTTGTCTTTTCTTGGACCACTTACTTTACAGAGCATCTAATTTCAAATATAAAAGGCCAGGTTTGCTAATGACCAAGTGTTGGAAGAATTTCCTTTGATTTGAACTTTAAAGCAGTGTTCTGAAAGTGTAGCCTCGGCACCTATGGGGTCCCCAGCGTCACTTGGAGAAAGGGTGAGAGAAAGACGACTTCTATGGTGATACTGAAAAATCATAGCGCAGCGAATTGGACACAGAAGTAAATTTGAGATTCTAGGTGTTTTCTAGTGAACTACTTATTAGATTTTTAAAAATATAAAACAATACCACTTTTCTCCCTAAATGATGTTTTGGAAAAGAAAAGAGTGATTTTTATAAAATGCTTATGTCAGTATGTTTCAAACTTATTTAAGCTATGCCAGACTGGGAGGAAATGGGGAAAGGCCCCCAGTTCATTTTACCAGGTCCGTTTAACTGATGACAAAACTTGATGAGTAATACCAGAAAGGAGAGAAGAAAATCATTGATCAATAACACTCATAAACCTCCATGTCTAATTCTAAATAAAAACGTTACCTAATAGAACCCAGGACTGTATCAAATAATAAAATATACTATCAATGTAAATATTTTTGTCAATGATAAAATAATCATTTAATATCAGGAAATCTGTTATAGCAATAAATTTTTAAAAGAATAAAAGCAAAAGGTCATATCTATGGTTGTCTAATGACATTTTGTACAAATAAAACTATAAGTAATATATAAGTGGAAGAACTTTTTACTGGTAAGAAATAATTTGGCTCGGCGCCTATAGCTCAACCGGCTAAGGCGCCAGCCACGTACACCTAAGGTGGCGGGTTCGAATCCCCAGCCCGGACCCGCCAAACAACAATGACGGCTGCAACCAAAAAATAGCCGGGCGTTGTGGCGGGCGCCTGTGGTCCCAGCTACTTGGGAGGCGGAGGCAGGAGACTCGCTTGAGCCCAGGAGTTGGAGGTTGCTGTGAGCTGTAATGCCACGGCACGCTACCCAGGGGGAGAGCTTGAGGCTCTGTCTCAAAAAAAAAAAAAAAAAAAAAAAAGAAATAATTTGCAAACATGTCATTTTTCCTATGGCAAAATATTTAATTAAATTCTGTTAATAAAGAGATGTCTTCTCCATTTTAAAATTTCTATGAGTGTTTGATCGAGCCCAAGACATTATCAGTTGAAGATTAGAGCATTATTTTGTGTAAGAAAGAAAAAAATGATGCTAATTGTTATTATTATTTTAAGATGCTATTAATTAGAGATCGTAAACTTTGAAAAAAATACATACTTTAGAATTGACTAACTACAGGAAAATTATCTCAGAGGCTGCAACACAAAAATAACAAAAGAAAATAACTGGTGAGATTGGATATGATTTTGTAACCAGAAGACTCAAGGGATTTTAGGGAAAAACAGTTACTTGAATGAACTAGAGATTTTTCCAGCTGAATACAAAACTTGAGCAAAAACACTTAGAAATGGAAACAAGGAAAATGCTGCATTTGTTTTCATGATAATAACCCCAAAATACTTCGGAAAAAGCCTAAGCATGACGGCTCTTCCACAAGGAAATACGATACGAAATTCTTGAAGGCATAAAATAAGATCCGAATAAATGAAAATGTTGCAACATTTTTGGATGAGAAGACAATCCATTGAAATATAAATTGTCATAAAATATATATACAACAAGCAATTCTCTTTCAAATACTAGCAGGCTTGTTTTTAATAAGATACAATTTTCTTCAAGCATATTTAAACATTGCAAGAGGGCATATTTACAAAAAGAAAAAACAATAAGAAGACTTGCCTTACTGAACCTCAGAACATTCTGCAACCTCATATAGTCTAAACAATAGTATCAGTATAAAGTTACACAGAAATATCAGTGAAGCAGGATCGGGAATTCAGAATTACTTTTCATTTATATGAGAATTCAAGATACAATTCCAAGGGCAGTGCAATTCAGAGGGAAACAATTATTCAATAAATCATGCTGGAAATGCTATCTACCTCACAGTAAAAAACAGAATTAAACTTTGGCTCTTACCATATATAAAAATAAATTTTAGATCTATAAATAATATAAAGCATAAAAACAAAGGAAAAAAAACCCAAGACATTCCAAGACCCAGTCTTGGGTAAGAGATACTTTGTTAGACTAGAACAAAAAATTAATTGATATGAAAGAAGGGGCAGAGATACTTGATGATATAAAAATCAAAACTTTTTCAGGGAAAAATGTACTATTAACAGACTGAAGAGGAAAATAGTAGATTTGGAAAATGCAAGCAAGAAGAAAGGAAAAGAAACTGATAACCTGTGAGAGCTCCTGAAAGTGGACAAGAAGAGGACGATTTATTTCAGAAACTGATGAGGTTATGAGGAGGTGTTTCCTGAACGTGGTGAGTGACTAGCTGCTTCGTGTTTCATCCCTGACCCCAGCAAGGAGCAGCAACTCTGAGGAGCCTTCCCCACTCCCTCCCCTTTCTCCTTCTCCCCCCATGACCATGACCATGGCCCTGCAGTCAGGCCGGGGCTTCTGGACTCAGTGGGTCTCAGGAACGTGTGGGGAGCGAGTGGGGAATCAGTCTGGGCCGTGTTTGCACTACAGACAGTTGCCCCCCAGAGCATGGGCTGCTCAGGCAGGACTCCCACCCTCCCGGCAGCATGTCCTCAGTGCCCAGTCCTTGAAACACAGGGGTCTTCTCTGCAGGTCCTAGTGTCCCAGCTAAAGGGCCTTGTCGTTCTCCAAACCAGGCCACAGCACACCAGGATGTCAGCACACCTGCTGCTGGTGATGGTTTCCAGTGCAGGGGCCTGGCCTGAGCCGGGGTGAGTCCCTACCCATGGAGGGTTAGGACTGTCTCTAGAGGTGGTTGTCATCCCCCTAGAGGCCACAATTTCATGAGACTGAGAACCACAGGGTGAAGGAGCCCCGGCCTGCCCACCTGGTTTCCCTGCAGCCTGTTGGGAAAGCACAGGCCTCCCCAGGGCCTCTCTCGGCACAGGCCTCCCCAGGGCCTCTCTCGGCACAGGCCTCCCCAGGGCCTCTCTCGGCACAGGCCTCCCCAGGGCCTCTCTCGGCACAGGCCCCCCAGCCCTCTCTCAGCACAGGCCTCCCCAGGGCCTCTCTCGGCACAGGCCTCCCCAGGGCCTCTCTCAGCACAGGCTGTTGGGTCCGAGAAAGCCTCCCAAATTAACCCCAACCGACAAACTCGAGACTCGCTCCGCTGTAAGAGGCATGAGGTGAAGTTTATTCAGACCGGCCTGGACTCGCCCGGCATGCAAGCCTAGGATGAGCCCTGAACTCAGGGTGAAGGCAGTTTTTATGGGGTACAGAAAGCAAGAGGGGTAGGGTCAGATACGAGTACACTTTTCATTGGTTTTGGTGATTTCATTAGTAAAGGTGAATTTGGATTGGTGCAGGTGAGGGGTGGAGGGTCCCTTAACACTATTTGGTTGAGTAACTATGAAAGGAATGAGAAAGTTTGCAGGGTGGGCCCTGTGGGTGTGGTTTAAGCAACTATGAATGGAATGGGGAGGGTTACAAGGTGGGCCCTGCAGTTTAACAGAGCAGACAAGAAAATGGCGCTGGTCTGGCCCTTACATTCCCCCCTTTCTCTTGTAACTGAGGCTCAATCTTGAGCCTTATCTGCTGTAGTATGCATGGGAGTATATTGGGAACGGAGGACAAATAGTTGAACGGCATTGATTCTGGCCTGAGTAGGAGTGAGCTAAGGGAACATGCGAACAATGACTTTTACAATAGCACTCTGAACATTTGCACAAATTAAAGTTCACTTAGCTCTTATGTCTAATAGAGCAGTCCTATGAATACGTAGATTTTGACTGGAGCAGGGCTTGTTGTTTTCCGCAACAGCAGCTTGAGGGGGTTTTCAGGATCCGAGGTAGCTTCCCAAGGTCCAGGAGCTGTTGAGGTGCGGAGTCCACTCTGCGGGGACTCAGGATCAGCTGCCATTGTTTACGTACTGCTCAGTCCGGCTCCTCTTAGGTGGGGGCAGGTTTTCCTCCGGTTCCACGGTAGGCTTCACTCTGCTGTAATGGATCTAGGCAGGAATTCCTGCTACTCTCACAGGTGTGGTCATGATTTCAGTCTTTGACTCACACCGCAGCTTCTGGAGAGAAAGGGTGGACAGGGGAAAACAAACTAACAGGACACCTCTCACTCACCCATTTTAACACTACCTTTGCCATTCTATTTAACTGCTTAAAGAAGTAGGCTATATACAGGCCTTGGCCCGGAACTGACCAGCTGGGTTAACATTTCCACAGTCATCTTGGTTATAGTCACATACTTTTAGATGTTACAATAGGCAGTCTGGACC